TCCTATGTTGGAGAGCAAGCAATTGGTTGAGCTGTTCCATGTTGACACCACCAGGAGCACCTCCAACCAAGGGCTCAGCACCAGCTTGGACCTGGGCGGTGGGAGCCAACTCAGTAATGTGCAATGCATTGGCTACCTTGTAGATTGTCAGAGGGATCTTGGCGACTGTGGTTGTAGTCGGCCCAAGGATCCTCATCCAAAGTGTGTCCGAAGCTGGGCATACTCAGTCTGGATGCGGTTGCAATGTCTGCCGGACATCATATGCTCCAAGCCAGGTTCCATCGCAGCCCAAAGTAAAGCTGGACCAAGCACCATCGGTAGGTTGTTGGATGGGTCGTAGCGAAGAAGTCACAAATGGGAAGTGACAGACATGCTCGCCAATGAACTCATGATCAACACCGCTGTCAATCTTGATTGAGTACTTGACGGGGCCTCCACAGCAAGAGTTCCAGCACCTTGGCGTCGGTCGGCATTGTTCCAGTCCAATGTAGACATGGACAATATGGCCATTCTTCTCGCCCTTCCAGCGACAACGAGCCTCATTCTCGGCTCTGATGAATCCCACACTCGAGCTGATAGGTTGGAGGCAGCTTCGAAGAGCTGTGGGTGCCAAGGCTTCCCTGCACTGCTTGGCCAGCTCCACAAACTCAGGATCCTTCCAGGCCTTCTTCAAGCGCGTTGGGACCAGGCGTTGACTCGATCTGGCTCCGTCTCGATGTTGGTCTCGTCGAGCTCTTCGTCGTTTGTCCAGAGCCTCGATGGCAGCAAGGAACGCTTCTTCATCGTCAACAACGGTAATGCCAACAGAAACTTGGAATCACCGTGTCCCCTCTCAATCTTGTCTCGATCCAAATAGCCAGGGCAATCAGGACGCAAAAGTCAGGGTCACGGCACCCAGCAAAATTTGGTCAGGACAATCGCGCTCCTCCTTGACGTTCTTGCTCCAGGATACTTGGTTTAAGAGCGAGTTTGGAAACTTGGCGTGGCTTCGGAATCCAATGTCTCCATGTTCGTCAGATCATCAGTTCGCCAATCATGTGGAACTGAACCTTCATCATAGTTGGAGTCTTGATCGTGAGGTCAATGTTGGCACCTCCATCACGCTCCAGATCCGAATGGTCTTGCGGAATTCTCGAAGCTTTAGATCTCGCTTGACATTGGATTTCCTTCCTGCTTCCTGACCTCCGCCCTTCTTCACAGCTTTGATCACTCATTACCGTGGTGAGCGAGTTGGATTCCCAACATTCGGACCAACCGCCCATGGTGCATGCCTGTTGGGATGGAAGTGGCTGATGGCTTCTTGTACTGTTCAAGAGTGGAAGATCTCTTTTGGGTGGGACGATCATTGGGACCAGGGTTGGTCTTCCCATAGGCAAGGAAGTTCATGAACGGGCGACATCAGTGGTGTAATGGCAAGGAGCTGGTCCTGAAGAAGAAAAATGAAGAAGAGCGACCATGGTGTGAGTGACAATGTTCGATCAGCGAAATGACAGATTTGGCGAAGGAACGTACCTGTGTAAAGGTCCTCTTACTATTGTACGGTGTCTGCCGGCCATGCTTCCAAGACATAAACCTGGTGAGGGCTGGCCGGTATTGTTGGTCGAGTGACTTGCGCTTCCTTGCCATTGTCGAGGTTGGAACAAACAAAAGAGCGAGTAGGAGGATAACAAAATAGCGAGATTTGGCCATAGCTTTCGCTTATCAAGTAGCCATCTCCAAATTTATGAGCGATGGATGTGGTGAGCGAAGAAATGAAAGATAATGAAAGATCGATCGGAGGTACCACCTCCTACATCCAACGGTCAAGGCTCCGTACTACGGGATACATGCGTTGATTCGGAGGGTAGCATTGAGAGTTTACTCTCTCTCAGTACTAAGAGAGGCGTTCCGGACCCTTAAGTCTTTGAGTTTCGCGGAACGTTTGTTGTTCTTCGTACGATTGGAGTTGTATTTTAGGCACGATTGCCAAAAGATACTTAGGCAAAAGTTGTATTTTGAGGCTCCCGATGCAACTACCAATGCGATTCTGAGTAGTATCGGATACCCTCAAATGCCTTGTTTTCCCCGGCAGAATACCCTCACCAAATAAATGGTATCACCAGTCCCCAATATACGATTACCAATACTTAGGCCTAAGTGGGGGTGAAATATGTACTAAGACTACCAGGTAAGTCCCACCAGCGCATACAACTCCCCTAAGACTGATACCCTCTATCATGTGACTACGGTTGTATATTAGTAATACGGTACCGGTAAAGTCATGCTGTGACTGTCACTCCCTCGCTGTTACAACTGTTAACTGTTGTTCTTTGCTGCTTTGAGAACAGCGCGGGATACCCATTGAACCTTGGAACTCCAATCATCCTTGGCAATGGACAACGATAATACCACAGCAATACCCAGCAACAAAGAGACCCCTGAGCCAGGCCTTGCTATGGACGGAACGGTTGCCAACGCCATCGATGAGGCGGACACGGCGAAGAAGGAGGAAGCTGTGGGAGAAGTTGGCAGGGGATCGACGGCTCGATCTATTGAGGATTTCCCTTGGCAAGGCATGTCCTATATCGCGTCCACACCCCAGTTCATGCTTATCACATTGGACTTGTTTATGGATACAAGTCTTTCCCCGGCATGGCACTACGCCATTACGAGCATCGTGTTCGCTCTGGCGTTGTATTTGTTCTCCTATGTTTCCATGAGGCTCTTTAGGATGGTGGTGTGGTGCTCTCGAAAGAGAGTTTCTATTGCAAACCAGGTGGTTTTCATACTTTGGTTATCCGCGCTCATGCAGGGTGGAATTCTTGGATGCGCCGCCTACTCTTTTTTTGACAACGACGATCGGATAGAATGGGGAATGTTTGGTCTTGGCATAGTTTGGGGTATACTGCATCCACTGACGTTTTCTCAGGTTGCAGAGCTAGAGGAGACAATAAACAACAAAGACGGCAAGAACGAGAAAAAGGGGAGTGGAGTTGGGCCCGCAACTGCAGTTTATCTTGTCTTTCGCCACCATTTTATCAGGGCTCCACTACTCTCTTTCGGAGGGATTCTGTTTGCCACTGTTCACGCCTTGTTGACTACCTACCAAGGAGCCGTGATCAACGAACTTTCCAAGTCCGTCACCAAAACTGATGCAAACGGAAACCTGAAAGCCTCTAATGACAAAGTTACAGAGCTGGCTCAAACATTGGTTGCGGTTTGGGCTGCGTCGATTGCGGCCAAGTTCATCTTTGACGTGATCTCTTCTTTCATGTTTGCACGTCTCGAGGTGTGGTTGAGACGAGTTGTCATGGAACGAGGTACCAAAGCTTCTTCAAGGAAAACGACTAATGAAGCTGAGGACAATGGGTTGGGTCTGGCGGACTATCAAGCACGCTATGCTTCTGACATTACGGCAACCGTATCTCTCTACGATTCTCTGCTGAAGGGGGTGGTGATAAATCTCCTTTTAATAGTCACCAATTTCGTCTTTCTTGCCTACGAAGAGTGGCGCGTTGCCTGCGTCACATTGGGCTTCTTGGCTATGGGAGTCACCAGGTAAGTCATCTTCCAATGGTTGGCGGGGGTTTCGTGCTAGATGAATGCGCTCATTCGTCCCTCGCTCGAAACCTTCGCTCTCGTTTTTTCTTGGACCCTGACAGTGGACCGACTTCGTTGGCTGGAAAGAATGCCGGCGAGACCCAAAAGCTTGCGACATCCGGGCTGTCAATGTTTCAAGAAGCAGAAAGTGACGACCCGGAACAAACCAAACCTCTTCCGGCCGAAGCCTCGTCAAGATCACAACAAATCTACTTGGTTCAACGCCACGAAGACCAAGTTTTGAAGCCGCTCGAAAAGACTCTGTTCCGGAGGAACTTTTTTGCCGCCTCGGTGGACACGTTCATCAATTTCTACTCGACATTCCTCACCGCCATTGTGGTTATTGCCATGAGCTGGGAGGTCTTCAATGGAAACATGGATGGGTCGAACTTCTTGGGTCTCTTTTTCATTTTCAAACAGCTTCAGAAGCCAGCCACCAAGTTGAGCGGCATAATCAAGAAGCTATCAAAATGTGGAGCCAATTTGAAACGTGTCAATGCAGTTGTCTTGGATTCGCCAAGCAAGAAGGAAGACTAGCACAGGAGTGAGTCTTCCATTTTGGAGCAGACAGGAGATCTGCAGTGGACAACGTTTCTCGAACGGGAGGGAGTGCTCGAGAAACGATAGTCCTGACCCTGGGTGTGTATTAGTGTAATGCTGCATCAAGTTGATATTAGCACAATCTTCAACGGACTAGTTTTGCGCATCTCGTGCGGCCTGTTCTGGGCTTTGTTTCTTCTCGGAATCACTGCCGGAACCCCCACTGCCAAACACTGTAATCAGCGATGCCGCCACAGGGACTTGATCCTGCAACCGTTGTGCGGCGCTGCCTGGCTGATTCGTGGGGGGTCCCATCCAACCATGTGGACCTGGGTTCTCGGCACTTCCGTCTAGCCCAGCACTGTCTTGTGGAGATCCCGCCGTGTCGTCATTGGCCAGTGACTCGTCACCTCCGAGGAGTGCAGCATTTGCCCGTTCTGAAGCAGCATCTGGAACAGCAGCTGAAGGTAGGACCGCAGCTGAAGGCAGGACATCCGGTGATGGCGCGCCAGATCCCAAGCCTATTTGAGCCTGGTTTGGATCCACAAGATTTGCAGGCACCGTATCCTCATAGGCTCCCAAGTTCAGCTGCAGTCCATTCGAATTTGATGCACCGGGGGGCGGCATCAGAGAAACTAGTTCTCCTGCAGGGACGGTCGGGGCGCCATTACGGTCCACGGCGGTTGGAGCTGCAGCGGCGGTAGCACCTGCAGCTGCTGCTCCCGCACCACGTTGACTTGAAGGAGTCGCTGTGGGGCTCCTCTTGCGGCGTTTGACACCCAAACCCTCACCAAGCACTTTCACGGTCTTCTTGAAGGCTTGCTAAGACGCACCAGGACAGTTAGACAGAGAAAACGTGAAATGTGAGCGGTTGGCCCCGTGGAGGTACGGTATCCTTAGTTTGGTGTAGTCCACTTACCTCGTCCCCAACGTCGTGCCACAGGCTGTTCTCTCTATCTGCTGGGTTCGTACGAATGAGAAACCTAAAGGTACGAGTGGGAAGATTTATGTGAGCTTCAGCACAGCATTGCTCAGCGGCAAGCCAGGTGTGGTGTCCATTACTACATGCAGCTCGAATCGAATCACGATTGAACAATCATCGTACCTTCCAGCTGGGTGCTGGTTCCTCCAAGCTGCGACAATCTCTCCTACCACAGCGTGTCGTCCCTCTCTAGACGACGTCTGATACCGCCGTTTGTACGGGGCGACAAAGTGACGAAACCGAGTATTCCCAATATGATAGTTGGTATCACCTGAAGCAACATAGGAGCGGAGCAAGAAGACGTTGAACCGCATGATAATGGGGGTACATGGGAAAGTGTACAGTTGAATGCCGGTGAGGCGAAAAACTCCACAGACAGTCTGCTTGATACCCAGAGAAACCTACCTCCCCTCCCAAACTTTACGTCTGTAAACAGAGCAACTCGTTGTTTAGCCTCCATACTGCATTAATACTTGAAAAAGATACGGCACATGCTTCAAACGTACCATTTTTGCCAGGATGGGCTATCCCCGACATAGCCACAGCCGCCGCCCGCGGAGGCACAGCTCCATCGTCATCATCTCTCCTGGGATCCTGCTGCATTTTGCTTTCATTTCGGGTGGGTAGATGACAGATGACAGCTAGCTGGCTAACACTAACGCATTTCGGAGCTTCCTTTTGAGTTACGACTACAATATGGCTCCTGCTGCAACACAAAACTGCTTCTGGGAAGCTAGCTAGACCTTGAACCTCTCAATAATTGTTGCGGTTGCGAATGGAGGCCTGGATCGGAGGGCCGCAGGCTTCCGAGGGAAACGCCGCTGCACACAAGGCTACTGAACTGCGAAGAGCTTCCGAAGACGGAACGGTGGAAAGGTGCTGACAACGGAAAGCTTGAGCGGCATTTCAGACAAAACAGACAACGGGACAACTCCGATATGTCACAGGCCCTATTATTGTACTGTCAAGCACGTAATAGTGACATTTTAAGCTGTTTTAACTCCTACTGGTAAGGTGAAAAGACACAAACGACTGAAATACAAACAATAATACTGTACTTACTTGTCGACTGAGTGTCACTCTTTCCAAAGCTTTGCCGAACGATGATTGAAAAATCGTTGACAGCCTTTACTTTTCGGAGCAACTGTCGATGTGGCAAGACCAGATGTGAAGCCTTGCCTTTCAGTTTCTCCTTCATGCTCTTCTGCGACTGGGTCACTCACTGGCTACCTCTGGAGAAATCTTTAACTCTTTTGATCACGCTTGACACCAAAGAGCATCGAATGGTCACCTACGACCAGCTCACACGCTACTGATTCGATCATCCTCTGCGCAACTGCTCTCTGTTCTGGCATGTTTGGAGAGGAAGCCATATTTGCTCCTGAAGAGGCCTCCGTAAAAGACAAACAGTCGCTTGCTTATTAACCACTTGACTTGCTCTAACTAAAACTCTAGCTAGCAAAAGTAAGTGACCTCGACCTCGACGGCCAACGGCCAAGATGCAAAGAAGAAAGAAAGCTGCTTGACCGCTGCTACTCATCAGTCTTGTGGATGGTGGGAATGGATATCTTGCGACACACAGGAAATCCGTACTCCGAGTACGAGTACATGTTTAATGTTCATCAGACATCGTATTTATTTTTTAAAGTACGGTATTAATACTGTACTTGTACTCTCTAAATTCTGAATCTTTCGCTGCTGTGGATTTGGTGGAGGAGCACTGGGTTGCGCCCGAAAAGTCTTTTGAAAGACATTTTTAGAAGACAGAGGCAAGAGGGCCTCTAATCATGTAGTGTACTACTCTAGTAGTTATTATTTGTCCTCTTGTAGCACCAGAGTTGACTTCATTTTAAGGCTTAACGATGAATGTCATACACAGCTACAGAGTCTTTCCCTGTCTCACAATGTCTTGCCCTTAAGCCTGACGCCTGTGCGAAAACCGTCGGATGGTCCTGTAGGCTCGACTGACACTTTACACTCTACACTCTACCGGTAGCTACCGGTACGGCTGTGGACAGCAGACAGTATCATAACTGTTGCAGAGATGGCCTAAGGAAGCATCAAGAAGCTCTCACGATCCACCGCCGTCACAAATTGTCACGGTACTGTAGTCTACTTTTACTTTTTTAAAAGAAGTTCAAAGTTCTGTGCTCACCACAATTCTTGCATAGCTGCGCAGCACGACCAGGACCTTGATGAGCAGAGACACTTGAGAGGTTGGTTGGTTGCTTTCTAGCTAGTGCTTGGATCTGGATGCCAATAAATGGTTGTATCTCTAGCTAGCTTGGAAATGGCAAATCAAAGGGCCTTTTGCTTACTTGGCGAAGTGGTGGCTTGCCTCGTCTGTGTGCGGAGTGGTTTATCGAGCTCTTGTCGCCTCCACTTCCAACCAGTACATTGCTTAAGCCTGGCCCCGGCTGGCTTCCGTAGATAATTTCCCTACTCTAAAAACCCCGTGACTGTACATTGTACTTCTTACAACCATCACTTTGGGTTCTTTTTCGCTCTGCGAAATGAAAACTCAGGCCTGCAGGCGACAGCGAATCGAAGCAACCTGGAAGCGGGCTGTTGCAGAGCTATACTGATCAGATTCTCAATCAAGATTGGTGAGAAGGGAAATTTGAGAATAAGCCTCGAAAAAGTTACTGTCTGAACTGTCGACCAAAGAAAGTACACGCCACAATTCTTGCAACAGCTTCGCAGCACGACCGTACCAGGTAGTACCGGTACCACCTTGCGTGGAGATAGATTTCCCCGTACTTTGAGCGGATTCAGATAGTCTAGTTCGCCCTTCTAAGGAGTCGAGTCATCACAATTCCAACTTCGCTCAAGAGTGATTCTTGTCATAAGATGATCAATCTGCCAAAGCTCACTACTAGTAGCCCAAAAGCAAAAGCAAAAGCACTTAAATTCTATTTGACAGCCATGCCAGAGTTTTGGTTGCCGAGTGCTACGAGGCAACGAGAACTGCGGGTGGATCGACTCGACTCTGTGGTTCCTACAGCATTTCTATGCCCGCACTGCATCAGGAACTTGCTCACTTGACTCGAACTGCTGGCTTCCCCCGGGGCCTGTTCCTGATGAACCCAAACCTGATGAGCCGCCCGAGAAGCCCGAGAAGCGAATTGAAGGTTTCAATGAACCGGTTTGCAGGCAGTGTGCGTCAGGGCCAATAAGTGAACGTCAATGTTTCGGATGGTTCTTTTGCAAAAGGCAGCTATGTCGCCTGAGGTGCTGTTCTTGTGATGGAGGGAGGAGTGTTGAGTGGTGGGGCGTTGGGTCCTGGGTTGCGGAATAGCTAGGTTCTGAGATTAGCAAACAGTTACAAGAACTGCTGGTACCTCAGATCCATCATGGTTTGGCTACGGGTAGTGTGCAACATACTATTATCGCGACAACCAAGTACTTTTTGCGCTACACGGCCGGTCTTGTCCAGAACGGCGCCTTGGCTCGATTGAGCCACGGGAATGAGCAACACATGCCCCTTGTGAATGGGGCCCTTGGGCATGGCCGAGTACTAGCATTGTTGGTAGACACCTGAAACGAAATGCTTTTCACATCCCTCACTCGGTTTTGATATTCCCCAGGAGTGTTGGACCGTCGACGACCGCGTAAGGTGACGTAACTCCTGCGTGGTGGGAGTGGCTTGTGGCTTGTTTGTTGGCCGTCTACATGACCTTGCGATCACGGCCGTTTTGAACTGAAGTCAATGTCATCACAATCCACGCCACAAGTTTTCCTTTTATTGACTCAAGCAAGTTCCACATCCTGTGCAGCATTGGCTTTTCTTTTGTAGTAAGCTGATATCCTGAGGCCAGCCACTCCCTGGGTTGAGGACAAAGTTTCGTGCCAGATCATCAATTTGGATTGTCTTCGAGGTCAGTCACCTTTCCAAATCTCTCACTGGGGATGGTACCTACCAACGAAGCTGTGCAACCACAGCTTCGTGCAATTTGGGGAGCCTCCCTATCTCTGTTGGGATAGTGCCTAGTACTGCTTCAAGGTGATTGGGCTTCAAGAACACAATTCTTGAGTCAGGCTTGATTGCAGTAATCAACCAGAGAGGCAAGGTTCCTGTCTGCTGTATTTCTGGTTGCATGCAACTGTGGTGCAGTGGCGGCATCCCATGTGAGAATGTGCCCCAATCCAAGCACATTATACTCAAGTTGGGCAGCATGGGAAGTACAGGCGACAGTAGTCCCCAAGACCGTCCGACGGTTTTCACTCAGGATTTAAAAGGTTCCACGACTGACTGAAAACTTATCACAACAATTAAGGGATTGTTTCTTAAGGGATTGTTTAAGGGATAGTCTTAGGGGATAGTTGAAGAAATAGGGGATAATTGAATGGTGTTTTCATTTGGCGTTAAGGGATTGTTTAAGGGATAGTCCAAGTTTTAAGGGATTGTTTTAAGGTATTTTGTTTTTTTTATTAGGGATATTGTTTAAGGGATAGTTGATGAGTTAAGGGATTGTTTAAGGGATTGTTTTAAACGGTCATCAGTTGTGAAAACCGTCGGACGGTCCAGATAACCGAGCGAGGCTACGAGGCAGCGGAAAAATAATAGATCAGTAGGGTTGGGACTACTAGACCAAAAGATACTAAATGTACCGGTGCCTGTACTTCAAAGATCCACTGTGACAGAGGAAAACTGAAAGCCTGACATCAACACTCATCAGCCATCAATCAACAAAACTCCCCGGTGTCACTGCTATTGCAAGCTTCGAGTCTTTTAAACGACGTCCGCGACTCTTTCCCCACGTCCTTCTTAGAAAGTTCCACAAATCACAATGAAGCGTTCAATTGTGTGTCCTTCCTTCCTGGTATCGGCAGTGTCCGTATTCTTCTTCATTGCCGCACCAAAACACGTATCCGCATTCTTGTTAGTAAGATCCCCTGTCAACAACATTGCAACATCATCAAAGTGCTTGCGTCCTACTGTATTATTGTACAGCAGCGAAACGACGACGTCGTCGTTTGACCAATATTCTCTTGAGGATCCCGACCAGGATCTAGCCTATCAAGACACGCGTTTAGGGACCGGTGATGTTGCTGCCGACGATGGATTGCTGGTAACCGTTGCATACAAAGGGAGTCTCCTTTCCAATGGCAAAGTATTTGATGAAGGACCCGGAATATCGTTTCGCCTTGGCGATGGAACCGTGATTCCTGGGTGGGAACGAGGTATCATTGGCATGAAGGTCGGGGGAAAGAGGACTTTGAAAATACCTCCGAATCTGGCCTACGGTGATCAAGGAGCTGGAGGAGGGGTGATTCCCCCAAACGCGCATTTGATCTTTGAATGCGAGCTCAAAGGAATTGCCACAAGTCCGACGGAGGAGGTCCTGGTACAAGTCAAGAATTTGCCACCTCTAACCATTGTGGCTATCGTTGTGGTACTGGGCAATTTTCTTTTGCTAGCTGCACCGCAGTAAACTTAATACAATGCAGTACTGTAAATACAAAGTTGGACAAGGCAACGAACCAGCAATGAGCTATTCTACTGTATTCAACAGAGCAAAAGGCGCATGCAGCCATCTACTATATATAATAACGACACTGCAAAAAATAATTTGTTTGATGATCCTATATGACAAGTGCATTACTGAATAGGAAGCCTTGAGGTGATGTCACATGTCACCGCTTTAGGAAACTCAGCAAAAAACTTCATTGGACTCCAAACTTCCGTCCCATGCGTGAGTGATAAAGACATCTATGGGTAGTCCCTGTGGATTGAGTTTCAAGGCGTAAGGTTTCCCGTCACACGATAAGTTACCTGCAAACATTGCGCATCGTCATGGTGGGATAGCAGGATTCGATTCGTAGAGCCGCTGCGCGATTTGAAGGAGCTGCTGGTACGAAATACAGCACATGTGGAGAGGAACCAGCCACGGCCGTGGCTGGTCCCACCCCCGTTGCAGTTGCCCCAACCACATGGGCTCTAAGCGCGAAACGAGACTCTCACGCCGAAGGAAAAACACGCTCGGAGAGTTCAATTTCGGGCATCCTCGGGTCCTCTTCATCCTCAGCGTCGGCCAGGCCAATCGGTTGATAGCGCGGCAGTACCATGGGGTGGAGCGAGTTGATGGGGATGACGGCTGCAACAAGTCAAGGTGCTCTGAAAAAGGTTCACCAGCGCAAAATGTAGGTATTTACAACAACACTCCCAAAGAATCGAATCCCCCTACGCACCAATCCTTTCATACGCAGTTTGTTCCAATGTGGGTACTACTGCTATTATTGAGGTACTGCCTTGCCACCAATTTGGACTGACTCCACCTCCTCCCGGACCAAAGATCCGCTCAATATTTTGGCATGATCAGGAAAGTGATGCCATTTTTCATCCCTTTGTTGTTTCTGTGGATGGCATGCTTGCCCCCCAAAGCCAAACCTCTTTTGCAAGGCCTTGCTACTGCCAATGCAAACGTTAACCCAATATTCCTACTTCCAAATGATGCATGTTCTGCATCAGCACACAACTCTCAATTGCCCTTGTTGTTATTAAAGCTGCCCACTTTTGTCTCTGTGGATCCCACAAATCCAAGCCCGTCGGTCCCCATGTTGGTCCTCAGTTTCTCTCCCATGCTAGCATGATCCCATGGAACATACCGGTAGTCCAAAATTCTTCCTGCCCCCTTCTCAGCCTCCGTCTACTAGTACAGGCAGCTTCGTTTCTGTTGATTCAAACGCGAGCCGACCTTCTTCGTACATTTCTACACTAGCACTCGTAGAAGTGTACCAGAAAAGCCGGCACGCGTTTGAATCAGAAAAATCGAAGCTGCTCGTAGCTGGCTGGACCGGTATCTGATCAGTCGTGGCTAAAAATCTTTCCCAAGCATCATTTAAAGCCGTTGAAACACTGCGGGACTGTGCGTCTCAAAATAGCCCTCGCTCGCATCCTCCCTCCATCGGAAACTGGTACATTGGAAGAACCTTTGATGCGTGTCGACACAGTAAAAGGCCTCGCCGTTGTTGTCGTTGTTGTTGTACGGTAAAGGTGAACCGTCGCTTCCAGCAGTTACTCCATACAGTATTCGAAGGCACAGCGAGGCACGGTCAGGAGAGTTAGCTAGCTAGCTAGCTAGCTACGACACAGAACAGAAACACACCCGTTCCAAGCACGAGAAAAGGGTCAGATCAGATCAACCATGCCCGTTTCATCATCAGCACAGGGTCTGTGGGGTTTGTTTCGAAACAACAGTACCAAACAGCTGGGGAAGTGGATGGTTCTGTTGAGCTTGGGGCTGCAGGGATTCGTGGTTGTCCGACTCTTTCAGGGCAAATTGCATCTCTTTGACGAAGATTATTTCCACGATGATGCTTTGGTGGATCCATCGCCCTACACTGCCCGACGGCATGCCCTCGTCAGCCATAACGTCAATAACAACAAGAATACAACCCACGGCATTCAGCTGGACGTGATGGTCCCTGTATTCCAACGAGACGAACGATTAGTGCAGTTTGCCATTGATTTGGGAACCGCCATTGGCGAATACCGGCGAAAGCAAAAGACCATTTCCAATTACAAGAACCAGAACAAGCAAAAACATGCCTCCATTCAAACATTTCGAGTGTTGGTGACTCGATTTACCAGACGGGAAAAAGCCGACAGTCAAAAAGTCCAGCGACTCATAGCGGCCCTCACGGATCTGCCAATAGAAAATATTGTCATGGTGAATGCCCCCAAAGATGCCACATTTTCCAGAGCACTGGCACTCAATCTACTCCATCAATCGGCATGCTATCGCAAGACCTGCATGGTGTCACGATTAGATGTCGATATGGCTGTCAAGGCAGAATTTTTCCAACATGCCGTGGAAGTCATTATACTCCGGCAGTATCCACCCATCGACAAGGATTATTACAGTCCCACCAAGCAGGAAATCACCAACATGGATCCCGCCGAATACAACAAGTATCCTCCCGCCTATTTTCCCATTGTCTGGAGTGAATACGATCCATTTCCAGTAAAGCTGGTGGAAGAAGCCTATAAACGAATGGGCAAAATTCCTCTCTCCAAATATTCCGAACACCGCGGACATTGGAGACACTACGGCAAGGGCATGTATGTATTGACCGGACCCGATGCCAAGATTCTGCAATTCAATACTACGTATCAAGGATGGGGACTGGAAGATACCGATTTCTACAATCGAACCGTGGCACTGCCACGACGAATTGTTCGACGATTGGAACCGGGTCTGGTACATGTCTGGCATCCCAAAAAGTGTCGCATGGGTCTGGATATTATGACGGGGGATCAACTGGACCGCTGCAAAACGGCCCAGTCTCTGCAAGAAGGATCCAAAGTGGGATTGGACATGCTCAAACTGTTTTGGCGCGGTGTGGATAAACAAGTCGTCACCAAAGTGGTCGTTCCCACTACCAAGGAACAACAACCACCAAAGGCTTCCAAAAGGACCCACCCAAAACCATCCAAAGGTGGTGACAACAACAACAACAATGCCGATGAAGCAGAGAATGATGATATGACATCGACACCACAAGGAAAATGGTAATAGCAGAATGCTTTGCCGCCCGCAAAAATATGAAAGCCACGGATCAACCGGGCAACCTGACAACCAACAATGATTGCATCAGTCGCCAACGGCTATATGGAGCTAGTTGTACTGTACCATGTACTGTAGCTCGACTGATAGATAAATAAATAATAATAAGCTAGCCTAGTTTTGTATTACTGCTCGTTTGGAATGTAGCTTGTCAGCCTTGCCCAGGTTGACAAAAAGTGCATGCACGTGGATGAATACGATGGCAACTCGAGGGTACCTTTCGGCCCCCGTTTGCCATAACTCTCTAATTATTTGCACTGGGCGAGTAGCGCCATCAGCATTGTTTCGCTCGTCCTCGACCTCCACTTGAGTTGTCTGTGCACGGCACTAACACTCTACAGACGCCCCCCATTTTGGCGTTGCTGCCTTCGGCTTTGGTGCTGATGCGTCCGGCCTTCGTGCTGCTTCTGGCTCTGCTACTACTGCAATTGGCATTGATGCTCCATTCTTGGCGGAGGCACCGCACGCCAATAGTTCTCGCCTTACCAACCACGCAAACTTTCGGAGCATGTCCTTCTCCCGTTCGTCAAACTTGCGCGGTCTAAAGTCGGTGGCACAAAGAGTCCCAACATTGTACTCTCCACCATTCTTGTGAGGGACGGGGATTGGACATCCCGCGTAGAACCGCACCTTGACTCCGTCTGCCACTTGTGGATTGTCGGCAAAGCGGCCATCCGCCCGGGTATCGTTGATGACGAGGAGGTCCTTTTGAAGAATTGTGTGGCTGCACATGGATACATCGCGGGGTACATTAGGTAGCTCGATACCAGCAAACATTGGACAGGAAAAGGACTTGGTCCAATGATAATCAGCCTCAACGAGATTCAAGGACACGCCAGCGACACCCAATGAAATGCGAGCCAATTCGATAATGGCATCAAAACGAGTCTCCTTTTCTTTCGCCACTCCCAGTTCCTCGAGAGAAGCACGCCTCAAAAGCTCGCACTGTGGAATCTCAGGTGGGACCCACCGACAAGGGCTCCTGGAAACCCCCATGCGAATACGGGTCCGCATGTACGCAGGAGTAAACGGCTCCACAATCCAATCTGTCACCCCGGCATCATCAGAGTCTTCTTGATACCGTTTCAATTCCTCGCGGTCCTTGGCCACCAAAAGTATGGGTATTTCTCCGCATGATGTAGTACTCTGCCGTAAGCGGCGACACAACTCGACTCCACTTTTGCAATCCTTGTACTTGGTGTTGCAAGAAATCATTACTAACGACCATTTCTTCAATTTGGAAGCTCGAAACGGGTCGTCTCGTTGTGGAAAGAGTAGATTGCCATTGTTGTCTTGCGGATAAAACGTCACTTCGATGCCATCCTCGGCCAAATCCGCAAATACCTCCTCGGAGCAACGACACGAGACTAGAATCTCTCTTTTCGATGCCCCCTCTTGGATTGGTTTGGTAAGAGCCGAGCTCGCACTGAGATCCATCGACGCCATGGAGTCTCGAACACTCTGGATATCCTTCTTTGGAGGTACATAAATTTCCTTTCGATCTGCCGCTGCCATGACTTGCAGGGTACTGTTTGCTTGACGGACCCTTTCTTGGGCCAGTTGGACCAATCGATCCACCTGCTCATCGGTGCGTTGTGGATCATGATGGAACAAAACTAGAGTTTTGACCTCGGCCGCCATGGCAATATCCACGACATACTCGATCGTTCCATGACCCCATCCCGTCTTTCCCTTGTACTCCTCGGCAGTGTATTGTGCGTCGTGAATGAGTAGATCGACGTTTTTGAGAAAATCGACGTGTCTGTCGTCGCCATTGGCAGCCGTGGTGTTGGACCCATCGTTGGGGTTGACGGAAGTGTTGCGTTTGTACCCCTCTGTAGCAAAGGCTCGATTGAAGGGTTCGCTGTACGGTATAAATGTCGTTTGCCAGAGGAGTGGGACGGGATGAGAATTCAAACTGTACGGGCCCAAACAATCGAACTTTCAAAACTTTTTTGTCACTACACGTGTACTCACTGATCCGTAATGTACGCCATGGAAGCTCCGTGTTCGGTGGACTCCAACCGATACCCCAGGGTCAGTACGGGATGGTTTAGGAACTGGCACGTCGCCAGCACTTGGTGACTGTTTTCTGCCCCCAACGTCAGTGTCCCTTCCGTCAGTTCATGATAATCAATGGAAGCTCCCAGCATATCAATGGAAAGGGGAAAGAATTCGTAGCTCATTTGGCTGGCTAGTTTTTCTTTCAACGAGCTGGTAAAACCTCCTGGAGCGTGTATATGCCATTCACTTTGGGGAATAAAAAAGGGAGCAAAAAAAGGAAAGCCTTGAATGTGATCCTAGGAAAGTACAGCAGTCAAAAGAAAGAAAGAAAACTGGTGTGAGATCGAAGAGCTGATCAAAGTAGCAGACGCTTCACTAGCCAGTCTTACCCAGTGACAGTGGGTCAATAGCTTAGGTTGCATTTGAATAGAGCAGCATAAGCAAAAAAAAATGGTGTGAGATCACATTTTAGAAACAACCCAAAAGAGACTTGTCTTCCAAATTATTAAAAGTGTTCTTACAATATGATGATCTTTGAGTGGTCCCAACTTTACTAGCTTTTGTCCCAGATCGTAGGCGCCACTGGCACCAAAGCGATCGAAATGAAGACAAAATGGTTGAGCTATCCAAGAAAAACGTCTGCTGAATAGGTTGGCTCTATCTTCTCACTCACTCACCTCCCCATATCCAACACAATTCTGGTTTCCTGCCCCTCTTCACCGTCGCTATTGTCGCTGTTGTCGGCATCACCTCCCCGCACCACTACTTCCACACAGGGCGTATTGCCTCCATAGGTAATCAATTCGGGGTGAGATCGAGCAATCGATCCCCGACAACCCCAAATATTCACATTCATCCTGACTACTAGCTAGAACTTCGAACCAATGATATGATATGATCGGTTATAGTTAGTTGGTTAGTTGGACTCCTGACTCCAAAGCGTTGTTGTGTTTCTTCTTGGGTCGCTTCTTTGCAGCCACACTTCTCCATCCAATGGTATCCTTGACTTTTACTTTGCCCGCGGAGGATCCTCAGATTGGCCACGGAAAAATACTTGAAGCGACCAAAGGCTTGCTTCCGTTTGGTGATGAAGGCTTCCCTTCTTCCTTTCCTTTCTTTGGCGGGGACTGTCTCTTCGTCTCTTCCTCCTGGAACCATAGTGAAGCCAAAGCCGATAAACCTTTTCAAAGAGATCCAGGCTGCTCTTTTGGCGATCCTTTGGAGCTAACATTCCCGCGACTAAAACGTCACATATTTTGGAACTTCGAAGAACCTTCAAGTCCGATTCATGACTGATTGGCGCGAATAAAGTGAGAAATGACTTTGGTTCCTGTGAGTGACCTGTGAGTGACCAAGGATTTAACACGGTGTTACACCCAGTATTTCGTCTGCCGGAGAGGACTTCCTTTAGGGGTAAGGGTACTGTTGGGGGCAGAGGTTTGAATTATACCCGGCGTGCAATACTTAGAGGCCTCTGTAGAAGTCTACGTATTTGACTAGTATTGTATTGACGGGATACAGTCAACGCATGTACATGCACATGAAAGTCGCCTCGCTTTTCACACAAGTTTCGCATGAATGAGGGAGGGAGCTGCATGAAAGTCGCCTCGCTTTTCACACAAGTTTCGCATGAATGAGCGAGGGAGCTGTTTCGGTTTCGGGGCGAAGCAAGAAAGGGATGAGCGCGCGGAGCGCGCGAATACTGTTCCAGGTGTTGGTAATAAAAGATTTATGGAAACGGAGACGACCCAGGGGGCGTATGAATGTTTCTTTACCCAGCCAGGACCACTGCATCTCACTTTCTTGTGGTTGTCTGCTGTGCTTTGGGCAAAAACCAAGACCACTCACACATACAATCAAAAACCTCGGCCGAGGTGGAAGCCTGGTGGATATGGCATAATCTAGCTTTGCCAGCAAGAGCAAAACGGAGAAAGCAGTGAACTTTGACACTCTCTCACACCACACCACAAGAACACACACAACATGGCGCCCTGCTCGACCAAGTCATCAGATCTACTAGAGTCACAACCAAGCACAATAATAATGGAAGCGACGGAATCACCCATTCATCTATTGCCAACCAGCACCACCAGCAGAAAGCACTGGAGAAAGCTGCTGGTTCTGCTGAGTTTGGTGATACAGGCATTTGTCGTGCTGCGTCACTTTGACCAATATCATCTCTTTGGCGACAGTTTCGATGTCGATCATTACACGGCGGTCCGACGAAATGCCCTCGCAAGCGACAACAGCAGCGATAGCAACAAGGCTATCATCACCACCACCACCAATGAAAACGATGATCATGGAATTCAAATGGACTTGATGGTCCCTGCGTATCGCAAAGATAAACGACTGGTACAATTCGCGGCAGATGTGGGCAAGGCCATTGCCGACTATAACAAGCAACAACAGAAACAACAACAAGCAACATCGATTCAAACGTTTCGCGTATTGGTGACTCGATTCTCGGACAGTGAAAAGGCCAACAGTCACAAGCTACAGCGACTCATTGCGGCACATACGGATCTTCCAAAAGAAAATATCGTCATGGTGCATGCTCCCGACGGTACCTCCTTTTCCAGAGCCAAGGCACTCAATCTACTGCATCAAGCCGCCTGTCATTTGGAAACCTGCATGGTATCGCGAGTCGATGTGGATATGCTGGTTAGGGCGGAATTTTTTCAGCATTCGGTCGAAACCATTATACTCAAGCAATACCCCTCCGATGACCCCAAGTACGAGCCATCCTGGGATACCGACCAAGCAGATCCAAAATCAAAAAGTTATCCTCCGGCCTATTTTCCCATTGTGTGGAGTGAATACAATCCATTCTCGGTCCAGTTGGTGGAGGAAGCCTATCACCAACTGGGGAAATCGAAACCTTCCAAATACTCTCAACATCGCGGACATTGGAGATACTATGGAACCGGCATGTATGTTCTGGCAGGACCCGATGCCAAGACTCTAAAATTCAATACCAGCTATCAAGGATGGGGAGAAGAAGACTCTGATTTCTACCGACGTACCAAGCGCACCAGACGCATTGTACGACAGTTGGAATCAGGGTTGGTGCATGTGTGGCATGGCAAGAAATGTCGCATGGGCGCCGATGTCAAGACCAAGGAGCAAATGATCATGTGTGAGGCTTCCAAAGCCAAACAGGATGGTTCCAAGTTGGCATTGAAACTACAAAAAATTCTCTGGAGTAGTGTAAAGCAGAGTCGAGAACGGTTGGTCAAGTTGGCCGTTGCAGAGGAGCAAGAAGAAGCGAAGGTTCCCAAGACGACGACAAAGAAGAAGAAGAAGAAGAAAGCAAAGAATGGAGCAAAAACTACCAAAAAGAAGAAGAAGAAACAGGCAAAACCACCAGCAAAGAAGAACAATCAAGCCAGAAGAGCTTGAGAAGACACAGCTCGAAGCCACTGTGTCCTCCAAGCCAAGCCAAACAAGGCAGGAGACTACGACAATCCTGCTAGAGCATACCATACAACAAACTTCCAGAGATCCTCCCAATTGCATGAACCAGATGCTATCTAAACATATAAATTAGACTAGAAATTGATGAGCTTACACAGATTCTCTATCTAAACGACAGCACCGTAGCCAAAATCCAAGCCAGAGCACTTCTGCAGGACGTTTTTCATTCATGGCATGAGGGCATTCAGCCATGAGCCATCTCATCCAGATTGATGCCTCTCATTACAGGAAGCGCCACTTTTCTTGTCTTTGCTATTCTTGATTGCAAATCCACGGAACAAAGATTCGCTGTGACCCGCCCATGCATGCCAGCTCGATTGAATTCGATTCAATGGCACCTCTATTGGTTCAGTGCCCAAGATCCCAATGAGCCCCCGTGTTGTCTGCCGTGGCTTGGTCCTCTGCTCTTCCGGCACGGCACTTCACTGGCAGTGACCTCCATTAGGGCTCAGGATTGAAAAGATGAGCAGTCCTTGAAAAGCACGATTGAGCATCGCATCCAACTGATGATCCAAACTTTCCCATTGCTTCTATTCGATGTCATGCCCATGAAGCAACCCTTGCCTGTTCTGCATGCAAGCCCAAGCCAGTCCATAACGCCATAGCACCACCACTGAAGAACCATACACTATGTCAGAAGAAGAAGAAAAGAGTCAATCGGGAGAAGCCGCCGCGGCGCCCGAAGATGCCGAGAATGCCCAAACTTCAGACGATCCCTTTGCGGATCCATTTGCGGCGGGAGATTTGGATTTTGAAGAAGCGGCCGCTCGTCGGGAACGTGCGTTGGCAGCACGACGGGCCCGCGAAGCCGAAGAAGCGGCCAATGGAGGAGGCGGCGGGGATGATGATGGGGACATTCAAGTCATCAAGATTGGATCGCTCTTTGACGACGATCCATTGCCTGTACCCGTCCGACAGACTCCCACCCGAACGACTACCATCGATCGATCGTCGAGAGATATCGAATCGGACGATTCCGACGAAGAAGATCCGGACGAAGTGGCCGCTCGATTGGCGGCAGAAGAAGCCGAACGAAAACGCATTCAGCGCGAACGAGAAATCACCATTCAAGTGGGAGAGAATAAAACACTGACCAAATGGCCGTATGATCACTATCACATTGTGCAGGAAGAGTACTGGAGAAAGTACTTTGAACGAGAAGAAGCCGCCAAAATCAAACAGGAACAAGCAGGAGAAAATGGCAGTGACAGTAGTACCAGTGTCAGTATCACCAGCAGTGATGAAGACGATGACGATGACGAGTCTTCCAGCAGCGAAGGATCGTCCAGTTCCAGTGAAGAAGAATCTTCCAGTAGTGAAGGCAGTGAAGATAGTGAAGAACGCATGGCACGCAAAGCACGAGAACGACGTTTAAAGAAGAAACGAGATCGAAGAGAACGAAAAATTGCCGAGAAGAAACGACTCAAGCGTCTCAATCGAGATACTGTCAAGGAACAGGAAAAGCGACGCAAGTTGCGACAAAAGGCCATGGAAGAAGAACGACAATCCGGACTGCATGATCTCAAGTCCGACATTCTGGTCTTTGAACGACCACAAGATCCGCCTGACATTAAACAGGCCGTACGAGATTTGCCACTCACCGAATTCGAATCCGTCGCCAAGGAACGCGCCATTGCCATGATTAGTACCTGGTTGTTTGATGCCGGGTTGGTACAGGAACTCATGCAAACCAAAAAGGTCAGTGGGGATGGTACCACCACACGGGAAGAAGAAGAAACCAAAAAGAAGGAAAAGAAGGTACAAATCAAAATCACACTGCCCGGTGACAAGGATAAGAAAAAAGACAAAGACAAGCGCAATGCGCAGGACCAGGGACCACGACGCACCAAGATGGATATTGAAATTGAAAAGTTGGAAAAGACGGTGCGGTTGCAACTCGATGTCATCAACATTCGACTCAAAAAGGGGGTCGCCACGTCGGGCAATGAAGTCCAGGAACTGGTCAACAGTGTCGTCAATGCCAAATCGGAACTGGTCAAACTGCGACAAACTTCCAGTGTCTTGTCCACGGCCGGTGGAACATTTGATACCGTCTCGGGAATGGCCACCCATCAAACGACATTTGCCATCAACAAGTACCCTCACTTGAAGTATGCCATTAATGCACGCAAGAATCTACAAAAGTGCTTTCGAGAATTGACGTTCTTTAGTCAAATTCCAGAGAATTGTGCTCATCTGGTCGATATGCTCCTCGGGGCAGAATGGTCCGAAAAGGAATGGGTGACGCTCCGTACGGTTTGTCGCGAACACGTCGAGTTGGAGATTTTCTTGTTGGAAGCCGAAGCGGGAATGCGCAAACAGCAAGCCGATGAAGAAGAAGATGGTGATGACGATGATGCCGCCAAAAAGCAACGACGGCGGTCGTCCATGGGTGCGGGCTTCAAGCGAGCGTCGTTTGATGTAGGATTGCCACACAACAATGATGAAGTCGATCGGTTCTTGAAAGAGCACGTGCAGAATGTCTACGAACTGGGGGATGAAATCCGCATGAAGATTCAAAGTGGCATGTCGGATGCCTTTGAAATCGCATACGACAATCCTGCCGGGATGGTGGCGTTGGTGGAAGCAGTGGAGATTTACGAGAATGCCAATAGTGAATACCAAGCAATTCATGGAAATGACTTGGCCGATGGCAAGATACCCGTCAAGAGCTTGCGCTTTATCAATATCCGAGCCACGGCGTTAGGACGACTGTACAGGGATATGCGAGAACGGTGAGTTGGTGCTTTTGGCTTGATGGTGTTTTTGGCTTGATGGATGTGTGCGATGCGGTGAACTCATCTGTCCCATCGCTTGCTTTTTTATTCTGGCAGAGGAGAAGCCATGTTTGAGGGTCTTGTGGAAAGCGTAAGTAATACGATACTTTGATTTGTAGTTGTTTTCAAGCTGCGGCGTTGCCGTAGCCGCGCAGTTCTCTCTCACGTCCTCGTTTACGGTTCAGATCGACAAGAATGAAGAGGATCACGTCAACAAGGAGTTCAGTGCGATTCTTCGTGGGGCCAATGATCTCTCCTCCGAAGTCACGTTTGTGGCGGAACAGATGGCTCCGTGTTTTCCGAGCTACTGGTCGCTAGAAACTGTGTGGACTAGTTGCGTAGCCGAACTCTGCGCAGAGCAGATTCAAGATCGGATTAAGGATGAAGATGCTTTTGCCATATTGGGTATGCCACAACTTTTGGATATGGTGGCTTGGGTGGAGAACTTTAAAGAGCTTGTGGAAGAGTCCTTTCCTGATGTTGCCAGTCTGGTCAGCCCCAAGAGAACTTACTTCGAGGCAACGCCCCTACTGCTCTCCAAGAGCAACGACACCGTGACCGGTCAAAGGGCAAAGGATACTCTCGCGTTTGTCAACAACATCCTTTGGGATGCTCACAAGAATGCCATGAGTGAGTTTTTCGATGCCAGTGTAGTTCCGATTGTTCGTGCTTTTCTCACTCTCCTTCTCATTCGATGCACAGCTGAGTTCATTTTCCGAACAAGGGAACAGGCTGTCGAGCTGTTGGAGCGGTTCTACAAGTAAGTTGCGCAAGCGATTCTGTGCCCTATGTACGCTGTCGTGGTGCTAATGTCACCTCCTTGCTGATGCTTCCAGGGCCGACCATGACAAGAGGCAAACATCTGACGACCTGTTGCAAACGTCCTTGTGTGGTGACATTTACGGATTCATTGGTCTCCAAGTGAAGACACTGCGAGAGCGTCTCACAAGGAAGTCAGTCGCCATGATTCAGCTGGTGGGTGTAATCTTCAAAGCTCTTTATGATGCCCAGCGAGCACACAGAGATCATTTCCTCGTGGACTTCGAATGTTGTTGCGCTGGAGCTAATGATTTTGTTCAGATGGGGGAGAAATGTGAGGACATCATTTTTGAGATTCGCACGGAATGCCACCTGTCCCCGAAGGAATCAGAGACCCTTGACAATCAAGCGGGGGCACTGCTGGGTCTCTACACGTCGGATGCTGTGTACGCCGCACAGAAGATCAGCGTCTTTGTCTTCAAGGACATCTACGAATCCGAAGAAATCACACCGCTCTTCTTCTCTGTAGCCTGGCTCGATGAGATGCCCGACAATGACGTCGCGGGCGATGTGGTGATCACAATCACGGACTACTTCACTGATATCCAGGACTATTTGGATGATATCATGATCATCAAGGCTCTTCAAGCTCTGGTCACAAAGTGCGTTGTGTACTACATCGAGCAGCTGTTGGACAGAGCGACCAAGCACAAGTCTGGAAGAGACTCCTACTTTGCCGACAACAAACGAGCCTTGGAACGTATGGAGGGAGACATCGAGGTCATGAAAGGCTACTTTGATGAGATTGCGGACCAAGAGGACAACCGTCCACTGAAAGAGTACATCTTCAAAGAGTTTGAAATCTTCGAAACATATCATGCAGTTATGAGTATCGCCTGTGGGGTTTCTGACGAGGATATCAGGCGCTATTTGTGGGCCTTTCAGGACTATCTCAAGGTTCGTTTACTTTTTGTTTTGTGATTTGTGCGATTTGCGGCCGACTGATTTGAAGCTGACCCCCATTCCCACCTTTCATAGAGTTACGACATGACCCATGCCATAGTTGGTGATTTGTATCATCTTGTCAATCCGGGTGAAGAGGCCACCATCTCCCAGCAGATGGAAGAGATGAAGGATGATCTGATGACCGAGGACCTCAAGGACGAGAAAGAGGAAGATGAACATGGCACAGTGCCGGGCTTGAACCTAAAGCACATGCTGAAGAAACACATTCGTGAGAGCAAGGACAAGCGGTCACGTCCTGGCGAAGGCGGTGTGTCGTCTTGGTTTGGCATTGGAAAATAGTGTGCATTCTGTAGCGTGTTATTTTACTAGCTAGGATTTCCTAAGCGCGCTTGACTTGCGCCGAAGTACAAGGAGTAATATATGAATCTTGGATGGAATAGCGAGACTTTGCAAAGCTCCGGCCCCATCGACGAGGAGCTCAGCTCAATTGTCGGGTGAAACAAAACGTGGGTTGTTGCTTGTGTCGCACCCACCCACGGAGGGTGCGGTGAGACTTTCTAAAGGGATCGAAACCAAATTGCATCTTCAAGATGCACGTGGCTGGTGACTACCGACACCGTAGCTATGCAACCAGGGTGAAACCATCTGCGGTGTTGGCCACAATGAGTTGTGGCGTTACACGTCGGACGGGTCGTTTCTTCAAGAGCAGGCTGTCACGCTCACTCATGACGCTGGTGTTGTCGTCATCAGTGGCAACAATCGACCCGTACAAGGCAACGGATTCATCGTCTGGATCATCCTCGTCGTCCAAACGGGCAAATCGAACGCGTTGCGCTCGGGGAGTTCGGTGCATCCGAGCCCGAAAGGATTTGCGGTTTGTCGTATTAAAGATAAAAAACATGATTGCGAGCGACGAAGACAGCATGACAATAGGCAAGACAGCATTCCAGAGTGCATCGCCACGGCCGTCATTGCGTTCCTTGCCCCAGATCCACTTGTTGCCATCGTCGTTGCTGACTTTATCGTCATCATCGTCAAATCGCCACTTGAAATAGTCGTAGCGTCGCGGATAATCTTTTTGATTATTGTTGCGTTTTCGAAAGAAATCGTCGTCATCATCGTGACTACCAGCACTTTTACTGCGATAGTGGTGGTCTATCATCATTTTTTATATATTTGGAGTGAGCAACAAGATTCTGGTTAGATTTTCGTCGGAAAGAATGTCCACCGCCTACATACAAACAAACATCCACTTTGTTGATATTTCCGATGTACTTACCATAATCGTACTGGGAGACATAGTCAAACTCGTGATCATTGTAATAGTCCCCGGGATAGTTGCCACACAATTCGTAGTCAATGGCTCGAACGAATCGTCGACTGGCAATGACATGTTCGTGCCACTGTTCCATAATCATTGGATCGATACTGAGACGGGTATCACCAAATCCCACACCCTTCCATGCCGGTTGTGCTTCCCAATTACAATTAATGTACGACCACATGCCAATTTCGTATTTTCGAATGAGATCCAGTGTGGGTGCAAACCAGGCAGTCCAAATATCGGTCGTGGTGGGAATGTGCGGATTGTTGTGAATACCACCAAACGGTGTCGATTCGGCAATCATGGTGGGACGGCCGTGCGCGGCGGCAAACTCCAAGACATTGTGCAAATCTTGGGGTGTGCCACCGTATGTGCGATGAAGAATGGGGTAGAATTGTTGAAACACCGAGACGCCAATCCAATCGACCCAATCATTGCCGGGATAAAAATCTTGCAAGGTGGTGTTGTAGGGCAATCCAGCACCCCAGGAATGCCATACCATTTCAGTCCGTCGTTGACAAGCTTTGTGTTTTCGACATTTGCGTGCAATATAACTGAATGCTTGACGATAGAGGTTGGGATCGTGTGCGTAATTAAAGTCGGGGTTGTCGAATTCTGAAAGATAAAAGAAACGACAAAGTCAGATACCTCCATTGATCGTTGCAATCAGCTACTTTTTCATCCTCTTTTTAGTGACTTACCATAACCAATTCGTAGAAATACCTTACTGGCAGGACTTTGCACTCCTATATAATACACCAACCGCTTGACATTATCATCGAGTTTTCCGCTGACAATATCGCGACAACCTTGCGTCCCATTCAACCACAATCCAATTTGCAGTCCGACGCCGAGTGGATTGGTGGGTGGCGATGCCATGCGCAGCGCACCATCGGCATATTCAATGCCGGTTCCGTAATCGACGGGATGATCCAATCCCCGCAAGGTTTGAATGTCCGTGTAGACCATTAACGCGGCGGGAATGACATTGTCTGTGCGGGGGACCGGCATGGGCACGCTACCATGGCGTTGTTGTCGTTTCATGTACCAGTGCAAACTGGCATTCTGTTGTTCTTGAATGTACTCTTGAATGGAAAACAAATCTTGACCAATCGTCAAGTACGTCTTGCTTTCTGGTGGGAGACAGAGATCATCCTCTGGTTTGGGTGGTGGAGGAGGTCCTGATTGATGTTGCGATTGGGATTGAGTCAATTCTCGTCGAGGGGGGATACTAATAGTACTGCTACCCTTGTCCCCCTTCTTCTTCTTGCTCATGTACCCCATGATACCGTACAGTAGTAGACCGATTGAGTAATGAAGGAAGGAAGGAATCAGGGATGACAACCCACTCACACCTCAGAGGGGTATCAGGTTCCTATTAGCGAGAGCTGGGTACGGTATACTACTATAGCTAGCCTTGGGGAGGTCTCCTGATCCCTTGAAATGCTGCTCAACGTCACTAGTCTATCGTCCTTCTTCTAACTTGAGCTAATTAATGATGAAGCTGTCTGTCGCTGTCAAGCTTGCAACAATAAGGAATGCTGTCAACAAATAAACAAAATGTTCTGACAGTGGCTGAAGGCGAAAAGCTTCACTCTCTATCTGCTTCTTTTCTTCCTCCCTTTCTGCCAAAGTGAATGCAACGTCGTCCAGCCACTCCAAAGCCTTTGATGAATAGTAGACTATTATTATTGGCACTGGTGAGATCGAGGGGGGGGGGAGCAGATGTCAATAGAGGTGTCAAGGTCCTTGATTGGTTGGAGGGAGATAGAAAAATAAATGAGCAAGGTTGAATTTGAGTGCCAACAGAGTTGCGTCAGCCAACAATCTGCCGCGACTGAGGGCAGAAGCGAAGACATTTCCCACTCCGATTCCTTGTGACGGATGCGAACCTGTGAGAGGTTGAAGAAAGCTTTTACGTTCCTTCAGTGACGTCTTTTCAAATTTTTATTTTTATTCACCCGTCCAAGGTTCCCCGGGAACTACTGGTACCGCGCGGTACGATACATACTACAGTACCGAAAGCACAGGACCTACTAGCTAGTACAGCTGTACCAAATAGCAAGCCGAAATCTGCTGCCATTTTCCCACATTATTTACTATCAACCGCAACAGCAGCCACAAAAGAGCGATCGAGCGATTTCGGTACAGCTCGCTTCCATCGTTTGTTGGCTATCGATCGATCGATCCTACCGTACGCAATAGAAGAGCCCAATCGGTCCGTTCATCGCTTAGTGGTATACTGCACACCAATCATCCGACACGACGAAAAGATGACAGACAGGGTTATTTCGAAAAAGGATTCCACCTCAAATGAAGGTATTGTGGAACCAAGCACAAATGATGAAGATGAAGAGGCTCTCATTACGACAAATACTGTCCAGCAAGGTTCTGTTGCCGCCGAAGCAACCCCTGAGCTCAAGTCACACGGATCTTTAGACTTCCTGCGAAAGAAAGGTCAAATGAAAAAGCAGCACGATCTTTTGCAAATGGCAACCGAAATCAATGAGACGGCCAACTTGGAAGGATTTAGCAACCGCATGGCACCTGATGCTAGCCTGCTGCACATGGCAGCAGAAATCAATGAGGCGGCCAAGTTGGAAAAGTTCAGCCACAACAAGTCTGCTGATAGTGACCACTCTCTCATGCAAATGGCAACAGAAATCAATGAGACTGCTAAGCTGGAGAAGTTCAGCCACAACAAGTCTGCTGATAATGGCCACTCTCTCATGCAAATGGCAACAGAAATCAATGAGGCGGCTAAGCTGGAGAAGCTCAGCAGCAGCAGGCCCACTGAGAGTGGAATCAACTCTCAAGGTTCCAGAGCAGGGCAGCCAGTATCTGGATCACCTCAAGGGAGTCCACAGCTACCTCTGCCAGGTGCCTACAGTGGTACACCCGGAGAAGCCTTGCAGCGTACCAACATCATTAGATTTTCCCTCCTTGGTGCTCCCGCTAGAATTCTGGAGGATAATATTGAATTGCAAACCGAAGTCATTCAAGCAGGTAACGTGCCACATGTGCTACCCAACAGTGTCAACAACAACAACATTGATCAGGAGCTGGCGGTAGCAAATCTTGTTGTGGAGGATTCAGAGCACCTCAGGCTCCAAATGAGACCACCAGCAAGCCCGGTGGACATGCAGATGGTTGAGGAAAGACAACAAAAGAAGAGGCGACAGGCTCAGTTGTTTATTTTGTTTCTGACCATGTTGTGCATAGTGGCAGCCATTATTGTTGGCACAGTGGCTGGAACAAAAAAAGAAAAGGGTCCAGGTGCAATAGGCAGCATCCAAACTGCTACACCAACAGCCTTTGGTTCCATGGAGCCTTCTGGAGTTCCTTCCTCGGCTCCAACTGGAATTCTTGATTTCATGCTCGAAAATCTGCCAAGTTACACTTTGGAGAGCTTGCAGACATTTGGGACACCCCAGTGGCGAGCAAAGGACTGGCTGTTGGACCACCAAAACATCACCCTATTGCCAGAGTGGAGGAAGACACAACTATTTGCTCTGGCATGCTTCTACTTTGCCTTTGAAGGTGATAACTGGTTTGAACCTATCCAAGAAAAATGGATGGATGACAGAGTGGATGAATGTCTGTGGTTCTCGAGTGGATTTTCGTTTTTTTATGATGGTGTGTATAGGGAATATTCTCCTTCCCGTGCTTCTCTTCCATGCAACCACCTTGGAGAATACACCAGTCTTTGGGTTGAAGATCTCTACCTTCCTGGTCTTACACCAGTTGTTCCGCCTGAAATTACTCTGTTGACATCCTTGTCTCGGATTGGGCTGGGATGGAACAAGATTTCTACATCGATCAAAAGTTTGCTACCAAGCGAAGTTTACAAAATGACAACCTTAGCATGGCTGAACATGGAAACCAATCATTTGAGCGGAAGAATTCCTACAGAGGTTGGACTTTTGACAGGTTTGGCATCTCTGTTTTTGAGCTACAATGGTCACTTGTCTGGCCAGATCCCCTCAGAGCTTGGGCTCTTGACTTCCCTGGCAATTCTATCTCTCCACAGCAATCAGATCACAGGGCAGATTCCTTCACAGCTGGGAAGCTCAAGTGATTTGTACCAGCTGATACTGAGTGAGAATCGACTCTCAGGCCCACTCCCAACTGAAGTTGGGTTGTTGACCTCTTTGGCTGACTTGTATTTGTACAGCAACGAATTGACGGGCCAAATTGGTACAGAGCTGGCTCTCTTGAATGCATTGGATGCCCTGTGGTTGGATACAAATCTGTTGACAGGACAGATTGCTACAGAATTTGGAATGATGGCCAATCTGACTGTCTTTGGGGCTGCCACAAATCTCTTAACAGGTCCCATTCCATCGGAGCTTGGATTGCTGCCATTGACTACGTTAACTTGGGGTGACAATGGCTTTTCAGGCCGAATCCCTGTCGAAATTTGGTCACAGACAACTTTGGGATGGCTCTATTTGCCTTCAAATTCCCTTACAGGCTCCCTGTCCAGTGACATTGGTCTGTTGTCCTCATTGTTTGAGCTGGACCTTTCTGGAAATCGCTTTACTGGGACAATCCCCATTGAAGTTGGCTCCTTGATATCCTTGCAAAAGCTCTATTTGAGCAACAATAGCTTGACAGGAACCCTCCCCTTTCAACTGAATGAATCAATGGGGTTGAAACTTGATGGTAATCAGCTTTCAGGAACTGTCCCAGTGCACCTTTGTTCTGCGCTGTGGTGTGACTGTACAGCCAATGTGACACCAGTCTCCACCTGTGCTGACCTGAATGAGCATCTAGCTTTCCCAGGTCGGTTCCCACCAACAAGAGATGAAGAAGATGGCCAACAAATTGTTCTTAACATAGAATCTGATGGGTACCCATGGCAGATGGGGTGGGTCTGGCAACAAGAATCAAATGTGACTGGTGTTTGGGAACCACTGGAAGAATCCGGTTGGGCAATTCAAGCAGCGGATTTTCTCTACTCGTTTGTCCTCGATGTTGTTGTACCCAACACGTACAAACTTGTCATTTCAGACAGTTATGGAGATGGCTTTACCACCTCTGGATACATCACTCTGACAACAGCAAATCAAACAGTGCTGTATTCTTTTACTGAAGTTGACACACCTTTCACAGAAATCACTCTGGTTGTTCTTGTTGGGGCTGACGGCTTCGTCAAGGAGATCACTGCAGCTGTTGAATGTGATCCAGTCAATCAATTTTTTTGCTGATTTCAAAAGAGTTGTCTTTTGCATTTTCTGAAGCTTGGCTAGTACTTAGGGAATCAAGAAGAGACTGTTTCTTGTGCATGTGTTATAACATTTGGGGGCACAAACAGGGCAACATTGATCGAGAGCGTCTCAGTCATCCCAATGCTTTGAGACCTTGAGAGCTGGAACACAAGAGCCTCGTAAACACATGGTTGCTGCTCTAGTGAGCGCAATGCTCGACCTTGCAGAAATGAAAGAACGAACCACAGAGTGGGGCTTGGACCACTTGTGAGCCAAAAGCTTGGAGAGCCGTTGGAGAACAGCAGTAGCTTCGGTAGCGAAGAGGCCATCAGCAGAAACAATAAAGTGGAGTCTTCTTCTGCCACTCCCATCAGCAAGGTGTCGACTTTTAGGGGGGTAGGCATCGGACAGAGGGGGGATAGAATTGAGGAGAAGAGGGACTCGAGGAAGATCCCCTGGCAGGAAGACAATAGTCGGGTAAATGCGGTAAATATAGGGTTAAAGTTATTGTTTACTCTGGATTTTTGAATCAAGATAAATAATTCCCGCAACCACTACATGTAGTATCTGATTCCCAAAATTAAACTGCCTGTGGGTTGCTTCACGCCCCCCCCAAAAAGATCGCAGATAAAAATTCGATCATGCATTCGAATTGGCAGCCGACAAAGATCCAACAACGACCGAGCCGAAACTGAAGACTGTCGGCCCAAAACCAAGCACCAAGCGACAGCTCGACTGATCCACAACCAAGCACACAATTGACCTGCCACAAAACACAAATGAACGCTTCCACTACTACCACTCCCATTAGGAGTATTGACTCGGGTGACTTTTACTACGAGTACCATGGCCACAAAGTGCGGCATTTAGAGACGCTTCTTCCCGTGTTGCGAGAATCGTCGGATCGGTTGATTTGGTTGGCGGGTGACAGCAGTTTGGACAACAAGTACTGGTTTGTGGATAAACGACGCTGCATTCAACCGGCCGTGGGCGCCTATCAGACTGTCTTGTCTCCTCCGGAATCAGTGCCCGACATTGCCTATTGGATGAATGCGAAATTGTTGGAGCAAAACACTAGTAATACAGCCAGAACGAGTGTGATCAATACGGCCGTGGAAGCCACGACACTGAACGAACGAACGCGTGCATTGCGCCCCCAAGACACGTTTCTGCGCGACCACATTCAACCCAATGACATTTTGATTGTCTCGGTTGGCGGCAACGATGTCGCCATGGCACCGTGTGTGTGTACCATTTGCGCCATTTTGGGACTTCTCTGTTGTCTTCCGCAATCTTGTACCGAAAATGGTGGGACGTGTGGATCCTGTCCGATGGACGACTATTGTTGTGGTTGTGGATGTTCGTTGGCATCGTGTGCCTGTGGATTTCCACCCTGTTTGGGCTATTTGCGGCATTTATTTGGAACACGCACCCAGCAGTATATTCGACGCTTGACGTCCCAACAAGTTCCGCACAAAATACTCGTCTGCATGATTTACTTTCCCGACGAAAATCCACACTCTCCCAGTTGGGCCGGTGGGACATTGGCGGCATTGGGATACGACCACAATCCGGGAAAATTGCAAGCTCTCATTCGCAAGGCATTCGTGCAAGCCACGAGCACAATTCAAATCCCCGGAGCCCAAGTAATACCGGTGCCACTGTATGAGGTGTTGGATGGACAACATTCCCAAGACTATGTGGCACGGGTCGAGCCATCGCCGTTGGGAGGGGAAAAGATGGCATCGCTTCTGTTGCACATGATCGACCACAGCAATGATGCCGCCACAACAACAAGTGCGGCGCTACTCTCTTCCAAACCACCGGATGCGTCATACATGGGTGACAGATAAGGAGGGACAGCAATCGAGCAGCTATCTCTCAAAGAAGATGGTGGATGGCGAGTTGCATCCACACGAACAGTTGCAATTTGTGCTGCTCTGATGGCATAGGGTGACGAGGAGGGTTTGTTGCCGCGAAAGGTGATACTCTTCTGATGGAACTAACTATAGACGTATATCGTCTTTTTGTTTTCTCAGTTTTGTTTCGGCACTACAGTACATTTAAATTTTGAGCTGCCAACGGAGTTTGCACTTTCATCCCACACTCCAGGTCCTTTTGTACTGTACGTGCCTCAACCCTTTCCCCCACAAATGAAAATATCCTGTCTATCACACAAGTTCCTGACATGCAAGCACCCAAGTGGCATGGTTTGGGTTTTTTCTTGGTTCAAACACACAGTGCCAGTTTGGAGTCGCTTCAGGACTGTCGTCACACCATACAAATGTATACACATTGATTGGACGAGTTGAGTTGCTTGGGAAATTGTCGCATTTTTCAGTTTTGAAACGTCGGTTTTCCCCCCAAGCCACCGCTCCAACCATCAACATCCACTACTTCCATCCTTCGAGTCGGTCTAGCTAGTTAGTTGTACGGTCCAAATCCGTAACCTCCGGATCCGTACCCGCTGCCGTATCCATTACCACGGAAATCTCGTCCACCACCGTATCCGCCATAACCACCACCATTGCCATTGTTGTAGCCACCACCGTAGCCTCCATATCCACCACCATTGCCGTAGCCGTTGTTGTAGCCAGCACCAGCATTAAAACCATAACCACCGCCATACTGACCAGCACCACCACCTTGTGAAAAAAGTTCCACATAGGCATCAATCGGGAACTCGGTCGGTCCCGTGTTTCGAATGGCCAACGTGGTTCCACCCGATGTGTCAATCATGGCACTGAACGGTTTGTTTTGACCATCTGCGGAATCGACTTGCGCCACTTGCTTGGCGGCACCGGGTCCCTGCCAGAGTTCCACCGTGGCCTTGATGGGACCTCCTTGACTGCGCAACGATAACTTGACATTTTGCACGTGGTATGGCAATGTGACCGTTTTCAAAGCTTTGCCACCATCAATACGGAGGCGCTGAATGTCCACGGGGGGTCCGTAGTTGTAGTACGAACCGGGATCGTTGCGATAAGACGATGAGACGTGTGCATTGACGGGCATTTCTTGAGGACCGTCATTGTTGACCGTGACGGCATGGGCACGGCCATCACGGGGTGTTTCGACCAGTGTTTGAAAGGGACGACGATTGCCGTCTTCACTGTAGAGATTGACCTTGAGCGGTGTGTAGTTGGGACCCTCCCAGACTTCCAGCGTAGCGCTCATGGGACGTCCCTGCGTGTCCATTTGAACGACCGTGTCCTTGTTCCCGCCGTAAGGGTCATAGCCAGAGTTGGACCACGTGCGGCGGGAATTGCCCTGGACTTCATTGTCGCGGTAGTAGTAATTGTCGTAGCTGCCTCCACCTCCTCTGTTGTTAGTATTGTAGTTGTTGCCCCATCCCCAACCATTGGTTTGCTGCTGCTGATAGCCGCCGCCATCACCCATGGGAGAATTCCAGCTCAAGCCGCCGCCATTCAAATTTTGCTGAGGGTAATAGCTGCTGCCTCCTTGGCGAAACGGAGTGCCCACACGGTTTTGCCGATCCACTACTCCATACCCATGGACGGCGCTTCCACAGAATAGAACCGATGCTGATACTGACAAGAGAAACTTCATGGTAGAGTGTATTTATTATTATCTGATCAAACAAAAAAGCAAAGAAGCAGATAATAATGATTGCTTGGCAATGCAATGCAGGGCAATGCAACAACAACGAGAAAGGTATCTTCAGCTGTGTCTGACGTTGACCACGTATCACCTTTGTCTTACCACAACAACGGTAACTGGTCCATACCATTGCCCTGACAGTCGATTCTTCTTTCTACCTTGTCAGCATCCGATGAATCTCTTTTTCTATTTGTTCTTTGGCAGCTGCTTGGAGGGCAACGTGGTTCCCGGTGGTGGTTTCTATTGCCTGATTTACGACGTTAGTCACGTTCGTGTTCTCGTCTTTCATACGTGGATACTCTCAACTTCAATCATTTACATCACATCCGAGCTTGTTTGCTAAAGTGATTGTTCAACATGCAACCTTCTTGTTTTCACCATCGCAGGTACATGTTACGCTGTACCTTGTTTACCAGCGTGAGAAGGCTAAGAATAATATGAAGTAGCAGGCTCAGTGCACTGCATGCACAATGCTGACACTTCACCCCCTTTGTTGTTTCTGCTGGTGGCCACTTTGCTGCCGAAGCTACTGCTGTTCTACAATGGCTCTCCCAGCTTCTGGCTCCGAAATGGTTCAAGCCCTACTCTGTGGTTGGCTCCTATGTCTCTGCCCAATTGAGCTTTGCTCTCGCTTGTGTCACCACCATGTGCCTAAGGCTCTTGTGTTCCCGTGAATCGACTGCCAAGGCTCTGGGATGATCATGGCATCGTGGCGCCCTCGACCTCTACCTGGTAGTGGGTCTCCGCCCTCTCCCTCAGGACTCTGGCTATATTTACTCTTTTTCCTCCCCTGCATGTTGCCCCTCTCTGTTGGCCTGCTCATTGGTTTTCATTCCCTGTCCGCTCAAGGTCCTTTGCTCATGACTGAGGACCTGATTCACCCATACGTGTAGTCCCCTCTAGCACATCGTAGCCACTAGATTCTTGTTACCTTGTTACGTTTCATTGGGTGTGAAAGTGGTTTGCCAAGATTAGACTACTAGATCCAAGAGGTTTCATTGACCATAATATATGTTCCGACCCTGCAAGGAATGAGCCCGCCTCAGTTCTTTTTGACCGTGGAAACTACGAGATCGTGGTGGATCACCTGAAGATTTCGGTTCTGTGTGTGGAGAGAGAAGAAGATGCCTCCATTTCCCAACTTCAGAGCCGAAGTTGCCAAAGCACCTCATTTTTCTCTCTCATCCTTGGATATCACGTCGGAAGTCTTGCTGCATCCATCAATCGTGATGTATCCACTCTGTACTCCTGGCTAGAAAGTAGTTGTCCTCTGAGAATCTGAAAAAGATATCTGTAGCGCGAGCTTGGTTCGAACTTTCAACTCATCTTTTTCTCATTATCTTCCTCAGCCAAGCATTGAACGAAAAAGTGGAAAAGATATCCTTGCAAGAAAAGCAATTTGACCATGGCTCCTTATTCCCACGACGACGATGCGACCGACGCTGTAGAACCATCCCCCAGTGTCCATCCTTTGGATCCTCTCTCCAAGCACGAGATTATTCAAGCTGTGGAGATTGTCAAGAAGGATTTGAACACGGCGAGTCTTCGATTTGAAACCATCGAGCTGTTTGAACCACTCAAATCGGCTGTCCGAGAATTTGACCAAAGCAATAACGGCGCTGTGGCTGTGGTTGAGCGCAAGGCCCGCGTCAATGCCTTTACCATTGGCCCTGGCATTGGAGTGTGGAAGATGGTTGTGTCGCTGACAAATTCCAGTCTTTGTACCAAAACCTTTTTGCCTCAGGCGCGTCCCATGATTCAATTGGAAGAATTTGAACAGATTGAAAAGGTTGTCAAGGAGGATGAACGTGTCATTGCCGCCTGCGCCAAACGAGGCATCACGGACATGAGTCTGCTCTGCGTTGACCCATGGAGCTCGGGTACCTTTGGTGAAAGCTACGAACAGGATCGGCACCTCAGCTACGCCTTTTTGTGGGTCCGATCCAAAGAATTGGACAATTTATATGCCCATCCTGTCAGCGGATTGAATCCGGTAGTGGATATTAAGGAAATGAAAGTGGTTCATGTGGATGATTGGGAAGAAGATGTTCCGGAAAAAGATCGCACTCCCATTCCCAGCAAAGAATGCAACTACGACCGTGTCTTTTTGGGCGAGGACAAGAAGCCACGCACCGATCTGAATCCCATCAATGTTGTCCAGCCAGAAGGTGTAAGCTTTTCTCTCCGTGGGCATACATTGAAATGGCATGACTGGTCCATCCTGGTTGGTTTCAATGGTCGCGAAGGTATCACCTTGCACAATATCAAGTATCAAGGTCGTCCCATCTGCTACCGAGCCTCTCTGAGTGAAATGGTAGTCCCTTATGGATCCCCCAAGGCACCGCATTATCGCAAGAATGTTTTTGATATTGGTGAGTCGTTTGGACGCTATCAGGATGGATTCCTTCCGTATTGGGTCTCACACTGCTCCACCTTCTGGCTCCATCAAAGGTGAATATGGACTTGGCAACATGGCCAACTCTTTGAAGCTGGGCTGTGATTGTGTTGGTGCAATTCAGTACATGGATGGTTGGATCTCCGATATCCAGGGCAACCCACAGTGCATTGAAAACGCAATTTGCATTCATGAAGAAGGTACGAGCACGCCATAATAAGGGCCGTTTGCGATGCAACCTATATTGCCATTCAGTCTTTCTCACCTGCTGCTGGGTGGATCATCATACTCCCTCAGATTTTGGCATTCTTTGGAAGCATTGGGACTTCCGCACGGACAGAACCGAAATGCGCCGTGCGAGGCGACTGGTGGTTTCTAGTATTTCAACGGTTGGAAACTATGAATATGGATCCTATTGGTACTTCTACTTGGTACGTCTTTCGTGATCCCTGCATGTCATCTGCTGTGCTGACCTGAACGGATGCCCTCACAGCTCAATTCTCTGCTTTGTCCGTGTTGCTTTGTGCTGTAAAGGATGGCACCATTGAATTTGAGATGAAGGCCACAGGAATCATCAACACAGTTGCCTGCCCCCCGATGAAGCCCGACCGCTACGGAACCGAGGTTACCCCCGGAGTCTTTGGTCAAATCCACCAGCACATCTTTTGTGCTCGTCTCGACATGAGCGTGGACGGAGACGAGAACACGGTCGTAGAATGCAACACAGTTGCCGTCCCAATGGGCAAGGACAACCCCTACGGCAATGCTTTCTACGTGGAATCGACGCCCTTGGTGACGGAAGGAGGTCGGTACAGGAATCCTGACTCGGAGCGATTCTGGAAAGTCACCAATCCCTCCAAGACCAATCACGTTGGTCAACCTGTTTCGTACAAGTTGGAGCCTACCCATTCCGTCAAAGTCTTTACCCATCCTAACTCGCCCTCTGGGAGGCGGATGGGCTGGACCTACAATCATCTCTGGGTAACCCCCTATGACGAAGAAGAACGCTACCCCACGGGCGATTTTGTAAACCAGCACGATGGGAGCAATGACCTTTCAAAATGGGTTCAGAAGGAGCGTTCCATTGAGAACACTGACATTGTGGCTTGGCACGTCTTTGGATTGCATCATCCGGTTCGCCCAGAGGACTTTCCGGTTCAGAATGCTATCAACACTGGTTTCAAGTTGATGCCGGTTGGTTTCTTTGACCAGGTGAGCGGGAAAAGCGGTGGAATACAGGGCCTCTTTCCACTTGCGTCATGAAAGCACCTCCTGTCTCACGTTGTTCTTTTCTGTTTTCCCTTTCTCTTCTGTCGTTTGACTAGAATCCCAACATCATCGACCTGCCGTTTGAACGCAACCAGGCCAGCAAGTATGCTTCAGAGGCCAGCGCCAGCGCATGTTGCCAGTAGACAGAGCAATGGAAAGGAAAGGAGAGATCTCCTGTTCAGTCTTTTGATGGCCTGCCCCCTGCTGGCTTCCGATCAGGCACTACAGCATGTGCTGCAACGCCTTCCTACTAGTAGTAGTCCTAGTTATAGAAGAACGCTGTAATGCATCTTTTGATTATAGTCTCAGCTGGTTAAAGTAGCCATGCCGAACACACGAGATCGCAGTTCCCGAACGCTGCCCTTCCGCATTTGATGTCTCGCCCACTGTAGCTACCGGTACCAGGTACAGAGTATTAGTACAAGGAGGATTCGAATCGATTCTACCCGTAATAACTTACGTGACAAACATTTGGGTGGTAGGTTTGTCTCTTTTATGGAAGGAGGTGGAGCCACTGTTGTGTTGCCGTTGCTGGCCGAAGACAACGGATGTTTCACAATCTTCTCTTTTCCTGCTTGCTGCGACGGCTGTAGATGTCCACCAAGGTTGGCTGGTAGATGTGGATGAGAAGATGAGCTAATGCGACCAGATACTCCTTACTGACATGCTGGTTCCCTTGATCTAAAGTGCCCTTGTTGAGGTGTGAGAGACAGTTGTTGGAGAGTTAGCATTTGCGTAGCTTGTGTTGTCATTGATGTTGAGATATTACTCATTCATCGTGAGATCCCGGGCAGTCATTCTCGTGTAGCCACCGAATTACTTCGCTTTTGTTGCTTCTTACAGCAGTTGCAAATGTTGCTGCACCCCATTGACAACCATTCATGCGAGCCCACTTGAGCACATCAAGGTGCCCCCCATCAGCTGCACCGGCACATGTCTGTTCATCCCATGGACAACCATTCTCACGAGCCCACTTGAGCACATCAAGCTGAGCTCTTCGAGCAGCATCTGCACATGTCTGTTCATCCCATGGACAACCATTTTCACGAGCCCACTTGAGCACATCAAGGTGACCTTCACCAGCAGCACTGGCACATGTCTGTTCATCCCATGGAACACCATTTTCAAGAGCCCACATGAGCACATCAAGGTGGCCTCCTTCAGCAGCACCAGCACATGTCTGTTCATCCCATGGACAACCGTTTTCACAAGCCCACTTGAGCACATCAAAGTGGCCTCCTTCAGCAGCACGGGCACATGTCAGTTCATCCCATGGACAACCATTTCTGCGAGCCCACTTTAACAATCCCAAGTGGCCACGGTGTGCAGCACAGGCACATGTCTGGTCATTCCATGGACAACCATTTTCATGAGCCCACTTTAACAATCCCAAGTGGCCACGGTGTGCAGCACAGGCACCTGTCAGTGCATCCCATGGTCAGCCGCATAGTGACAGGTCTGTTCATTCCATCGACAATTATTTTCACGAGCCCAGTTCAAAACCTCTAAGTGGCCATTTTGAGCAGCATGGGCACATGTCCATACACTCCATGTACAACCATTCTCTCTTGACCATTGGAGCATTTCCAAATATCCATTTTGAGCAGCATACATACATGTCCCATCATTCCATGGGAATCCTTGTTGGCGTGCCCACTTCATGACCCCAATATTTCCAATTGTGGCAAATTGCATCGCAAAAGTGATGGCTATTACGTAACTTTTCTGTCTCAAGCCAGTATGCTGCGCGTGGCACATTGCAAAATGTTTCGCTGTAGAGAGTGTCGGTGATTTCTGCAGAGCGACTGTCCTGGATGATGACACCCACTGGGTTATCTTTTACCTTTCTTGGATTTTTCGTGAGTTCAATTTTGCAGTACTCTTTGTACAGTTGATTCATCTTCTTGTTGACAGCTCCTACAAAAGCGTACTGTCCAACACCAACAAAAGGAAGAATGGCTTGGATCGTAATTTCATCGTCAGCCAACACAGGAGATTCGAAGGGAGGAGACATCTTCTGTTTCTTATTGCTATTTGCGCTGCTATTGGCAGCAGCAGTACCAGCAAAAGCACTACTAGCTAGCGCCAGCACTACTAGCTAAACTATCAGAAGACATGATCAAGAATGAGTGGAGTTGGAGTGGGCTGACTTGCTATGTACAGCCGTAGACGGGTAAGAGGAGAGCCACCACGGTTGGGATTGAGACAACCAAACGACAAGGAAAAAATATATACCGGGCAGACCCCGGTGATCTCTGACCCCGTTTATTGTGGTGGTGGTTGGTTGGTTTTGGTTGGTTGGTTACCCTTAGGGTTAGAGTTTAACTAAAAACGAAGCCTCCTCTTGGGCCCCCACATTTCTTACACATTCTCTTTTATAGCAACGGATCCTGAATATTTTCCTGACATTTGCACACCTCTAAACTCCCGTAAGCTACCACGCCTCTTTCTCAGACGGAAAAATCTAACGTCTCACGTTGCACACCTCTAAGCTCCCGTAAGCTACCACGCCACTTTCTCAGACGGAAAAATCTAATAACACTACCTTCAGCCAAACTTCAACAATATTACTATGCCGGCCCATCTTTTAAGTCAGCTCGCCCGGTATATCTATTACACCTCCGGTGTCCTTTAGTTGGCTTCGAGTGGACGCCACAGTCCCGGATTGTTTGGAATTAGTGACTCAATCATGACCACCAATGCCAAAAACCAAAGATGTGGAACGGACAGGAGATCTCATGTCATTTTCTTCATCAGCCATGGGGAGACAAGAGACGACCATGCCCCCGACACCTGAAGGAAAACCAACGCTTCCGCAGGGCCCAGGGTCCAGTGGGAAGAAAAAGAAAAATAAGAACAAGAGGAAGAGTGCTGGGAAAGAAGAGAAGAGCCCTGTGACGAACAACGAAAATGGCAAGGAACCGCCCAACAAATCTGAAACTGACACGCCTCCCAGCAATGGCAATACTCCTGCCAAAGAGCTACAAGAAAGTCCAACTGTACCAAAACCAGAGGAGAATCAAGGACCAAAGGAAAATATAGGGGCCAGTGGGAAAAAGAAAAAGAAGAAAAACAAAAAGCGCACTGCCAGGGACGAAAAGAGCCCGACCACAGCCGAAGCAAATGGGAAGGACTCGTCCAACAAATCTGCAACTGAAAAGCCCCCAAGCAACAGCAGTAATCCTGCCAAGCAGCCAGAAGAAAGTACCACAAAATCGACGCCAGAAGAGAAGCAAGGACCACCGAAAGACACTGGGTCAAATGGGAAGAAAGCAAAGAAGAACAAGAAGAATGCTGCCAATGATGAGAAGATCCCAGTGAAGGACAAAGGAATTGGCAAGGATTCACATGACAAATCTGAAATTGAAAAAGTTCCAAGCAATGGCAGTGCTCCTGCCAAACAGCTTCAAGAAAGTCCGACTGTACCAAAACCAGAGGAGAATCAAGGACCAAAGGAAGATGCAGGGTCCAGTGGGAAAAAGAAACGGAAGAAAAACAAAAAGAACGGTGCTAGTGATGAAAAGAGCCCTATCACCAAAGAAGAAAGCAGCAAGGAGGACACACCTGAAACTGTAAATCCCCCAAGCAACGGTAGTGCTCCTGTCAAGCAGCCTGTTGATGCAGAGAAGGAGTCTGTGAACGCAGCAGAAGAGAGTGTCACTGCGCTAACTCGATCTGAAAAGAGAGCAGCCAAGCGCAAGAGGCAAAAGGAAAAGAAAGAGATGACGAATGGGTCAAGCCCCACCGACGAAGAAGGTGAATCCAAAGAGAACAACGAGAAAGCACCCGAGAAATCACAAAACGGAAACCACAAACAGGGCACTCCTTTCAAACAGCCAACTCAAGAAGAGAAGAAGAGGCGAGCGCAGCTTGCTGCAGAGATTAGGGCTGAATCACGCAGGAAGAAAAAGGAAAGGAAAAGGAACCAGAGCTCCACTACCGGTAATAATAATGAAGCTGCTACCAAACAAGCGAACAACAATCCACTTCTCGAAGCTTATCAAGCCTTTATGCAAAATAATGCCTCCAAGCAAGAGTGCGCCAACTTCTTTTCGACTACTCTGATGGATGCAGACCGTCGCGCGGAACTGTGGACGGAACAAGCCGATCTAGGCGAGGCCTTGTTGAATCAATATAGTTGGGCCATTCCGGATGAACGTGCCATTCGTATCTTGAAGCACTTCAGTCCACTGGTGGAGATTGGGTGTGGGGCGAATGCCTATTGGGCACGGCTTCTGAAACGGGAAGGTGTCGACATTATTGCCTATGATGTGAATCCCAATAGTGGTGGAAAGATTCCAACCGAAGGACATCAACAAGGCACGAACGGGTCCGAGTCAAAGGATGAGCTACAGGCGTTGAAGGGTGGTCCTGAAGCCTTGGCATTTAAGAAGGTTCGCAAATCCAAGCGAACGTTGCTGTTGTGCTATTGCGATGAAGAGCCACTGCCACCTGAAGTGAAGCCCACCGACCAGTCCTTGTCCTCAGATGAGCGCAAAAGCGGCGACAGCCACAAAGATGATGCAAGCGACCGCGATGGTGGCTCTCTTGGAGCGGCATGTCTACGTCACTACCAGGGTGACTACATTATTCACATTGGCGAGCTGTATGGGGACACGCTGTGCGTAGATCAAGCGCCATGGGGACGTACGTCGGCTCCGACATTTCAGGAACTTTTGGCAAAGTCCTTTCACTGCCTTTTGAAAGCCAGCCTCCCCAGCTGGCTTCATACACGAGATTCCATCAGCGTTTGGAAAAGAACGGAAACCTGTCCGATGGTCTTTGCAGGCGACAACGAGGACGATGAGCCGGAGGAAGATCATTATAGGCATATTCCGAGTGAGGAACGGCTGCAAAGTGATATTGCGGCTCAGTGCTTGCTTCATTTGTTGCATCCTCCAACAACCAACAAGTTTGCCGCCAATGGACAGAAAATGAACGGAACGAAGAACAAGGCAACCAAAGCGCCTGCGTCCGAGGAGCCCAAGTCCAAGAAAATGAAACTCAAGGGGAAGGGCAAGGAGCACGAACCAACCGACAATAAGCAACAAGGTTCCAGGCAGAAAGATGAAACATGTGATCCAATTTCGGAGAGCAGCAATGGCAGCTCGAACGGAGGCGTTCCCAACAACAAGAAAAGCTCAAAGCACAACAACAAGCAGCAAGACACGATTGAAGAAACACCGAAGGAGAGTGAAGGCAATGCGAAGAGGGAAATCGCTCCCGACACTGAAAAGATAGAGATGGAGGAGTCTTCTAATGGCAAGGATGCCGGCTTCATCGAAGTGAAAGGCAAACGTAGACGTGAGAAGAAAGCCAAGAAGATTCCCGCACAGAAATTCTCTCCTGGAAAGGATACTCCGATGTCTGGGCTCGGAAAACGGAAGGCAAAACCAGACCAACCAGGGTCCAGGGAGAAGCGGCAAAAGAATGTTCGATTTGAAGGTAACGCTTCAAAAGAAGCCGTTCCGAACGAGGGCAGCAAGTATGAGGTTGAGTGGTAGATTGGTCGTCGTGAAGGCGGAACGTGCTCAACGCTCAGCAACCAGAGCCGTGTGTGTGAGGGTTGTCTCTGTAAAATATTTTAGCATCCTTACTTTTTGCTGCATACGGGGGGTTCAGAGTAGGGCAATTACCTACGGAAGCGTGTTTGGGTTTTCGAGGCGGCGAGACATGCTTTGTCAAGCGAAAAGTAGTGTCCAGCCACGTCTTGCATGACCATACCGAACTGACACATGACCATCTGCCCTACAATATTGGCTACCCGTAGAAGAAGATTTGTTTGTACGTTACCGCACGCTCACTTGTGGAAAGGAACGGCAATTCTAATCGTAGCCAACCAGCAAAAGCAAAAGCCACTTGGGTCCATCAGGGAGGCCACAAATCCGAATATCTCTGATCAGCAAATAGAAAAAATGGGTTCTATGTTGAGGTTCTTTCTGCCTTGATTCAATGGCGAAAGGCATTCTTAGAAGTAAGCGGTGTACCGGTAGGCCGCTTGGCTCTAACTCTACTTCCATTCAAGTAACACTTGGGTAGGTACTGGTACCCAGCCGGTAGGGGTTGGAAACTGCCACCGCATGCTCGTCAATGTTACCACTGTACTACCTCATCGATGGTTGACCGCAGTGCTGCCTAAAAGAGACCGCCAAGACCACGAAACAAACGCAACAAACAACAGTGACTAGTCGGCAATGGATTGCTTTGTGATTCATTTCTACACCAGCCGTTTCGATTTCAGTGCTGTTTTTAGTTGAAACAGTCGCACTTGCTTGAAACTCTGATTCCGGCACCATAGATCCTCAATTTCTCAGCTCCCGCTGGGCGCTCTTTGCCATGAAGTCTAAACCCCTTACATCATTTCGCGGCGAGGCCAGTATTTGTTGAAGAAGCTGTTGAAGATTGGGTGGTGATCGACGCGGGAATCGAATCGTGGGAGTCACTCGCTCAGTGAGAATGGCTAGCTGCAAGAGCCGTGTCAAGTGTGGATGGCTGCCGCGCCGAACGCCGAGGTCTCGATCAAGACTGGGAATAATTTTGCCATCGTTTCCGACCATTTGCAATCATTTTGGTCGGGCCTGTGTGCCCATCTATCCTCGCACTCGATCTTCCTTCTGCTTTGTCGCACAAATTAACAACGAGTTCGTCAAGAACTGCGATCCACCTTACTTTATTATTCTAGTCAAGCAAAATGAAGTTTCGACAAGCAACGATCGAACGCATTGAGTATTCGCCAGGCCCCAAAGATTGTCTGGCAGGCCGTGGAGGGTACACTAACCACCACATTGGAACCAACAAATTCCGCGGCATGTGTGAGAAAATGAAGCTACACTACCTATTGGCTAAAACCATAGCAGAGAAGCAGGAGATTCGCAACCAACTAATCTCCGAATGGGAAAACGAAGGAGGACGATTCCTCAAGGGCGATCCGCATCACGGATTCCGTCCCATGTCAGCAAAGGAAGTACGTCGCAAAACGTCACAAAGGTTACGAGAACGCCCCGATTTGTTCTTCAAGAAGCTATTCTCTGATGAAATGGACAAAATGCTGGGCATCACCATGCCGGAAGAGCCGCTATGCTATGATGAAGATACGCTGGCTTTGTTGAGGAACCCAATCTCGGAGTTTTCGTTGTAACTTTGAAGAAGACAGAAGTGGCCAGTGCCAACTCTATTGAGTTCCAATTGGGCTGAAAGGAACGGCCAGCAACAAATTCATCCCTGAATGCACCCACTACATTTTAGAGGTCCCATCGAAGAGAACCGACCACGAGCAGCAAAATTTGATGCATCCGCGCTGCACACGAAACTACATTTTAAACGACCATCGAAGAGATGCAACAACGAGCATTGAATTCATCCGTTGGTGCACACCAAACTACATTTTTAGAGGTCATTGATATCATTGCAAACTCCTAGGAGCCTAAAGTAATCGAGGCTGCTGAATGGCGTACCAGTAGCACGGGTTTGTAACCATTCTCAGGAATTCGCCCACTTATATAGAGACCCCTTTTCAACAGGCTCCAAGAGCCTCCATATCCACCCATCCTTATTGGCCGCCGAGCTGATTTTCAGATGCTCGTGTACAAACCAAACCAGCCTCTTGTTGATTGTGTGGCCGCTTGGATTTTGGTGTTTCCAGGTAGGCCTCTGCAGGTGTTTCTTGGCATACCAATGCATCCCTCGTGTTCCCGTCTCGTCTTCCTTGTTAAAGTGCAATGCCTTGGCTCTGTCAAACACAAGCACACGATACAGTATGCCCACAATGCGCCGTCCCTTGTCAAACTCTTCAATGACACTTGTAACTTTGGACGGGTCCAACTCTCTGGTACCATCTACACAGCAACAGTCATAGAGCCTATAAAGAAAATACAGGCACACCCAGCGGTCGGCATCAAGCTGATTGGCTTCCAAGTGCCCCTGACGGTTCTCATTGCTAGTGTTCAGGGCCTGCGCCCAAGTGCTGGCATAAGTCTTCGCCTCTTCTTTGCAGTCTGGCTTGGCTCGTTCCAATCGCTCCAGTGCCATGCTGACGCCCCCCTGTCGAAACTCGAGCTCAAATTGTTTGGGTTGGTCAAATGTTTCAATCAACTCCCCTACAGTACGCGTCCAGGCACGGACTTCTGACAGGGTCTTTCGTGGGTCTTCCTGGAATGGATCATATTGGAAGGGTACGCTGATTGTTGCTAGCTTGGGGCGTTTGCTGGGACGGTTGTTTGTCCGTTCCTTGTTCAGGGATTTGAATGCTTCCACGACACGGGGACGCCGAGTTTCGAGTGCCTTCGCGAGCTTGACCTCCAGATTGTCAAAATCGAGCTCTTCGTATTTTTTATTTGGATAGGTTTTAATGCCGAGACCTTCGGGTCTTGGTTTGAGGAACAGCGTTCCCAAGGGCCACAAGCGCTCCTCGTCTTTTCCAACAAACAGGTTGTGGTCCATCACAATTCTTCCACTGGTTTGTTCTCGAGTGAGACCGATCTTGCCGAGGATTCTTCTGGCCAAAGTCGTTGTAGCTTTGTTGGAATTCTCTTCCCCTTGGTTTTCGGCTTGTTTCTGAGAAAGGAGGATCAATTGTGTCATAATGGCCACCTCATACTTTTGCGCTCCTTTGGGATACCCCTTTAGACAATCCAAAGCTTGTACTTTCGTGCGGATCTCATTTTCCTGCAGAGAGAAACCGACTGGTAATTCCTGGCTCCTGTATTTGATGGTGAATCCAGGCAGGACAAACAATCCTTGCTCGTCGCGATCAAAATGGTAGTGCAGGCAGCCATCACAGGTGGGCGAATGAAGAGTGACAGTGCTGTATCCCGCCAAGAAACTTTCGAATTGACGCTCCACGGCTTGCTGGTCCTTACCGAGCAATGGTCCCGAGATGTAGATTTTCAGAACGGCGACTTTTTGCTGCTCCGTTCCCTTCTCGACCCATGGAAGGGTAACGATGCCGAGGTATTCCTTCCAAAAGTCCAAGTTATCGTCTCGCCACTGGTCCACCACATCCGAAATCCTCTCTTCGCTATTGGGGTTGTTGGAATGGTCTCTAATCAATGCCGCATCTCCGGAATGCAGGGTCTCAAAGAGATGCTTCAGATCGGAAGATCCAAACGCTGTGGTGCCTTCCGCACCTTTTCTACTGATTCGGATGCCAAACCAAGAGCGATCATTCATGACTGGTGAAGTGCAGTGGTAGGTACCACAACCAAAAGCCTTCTTATGGAGTGTGCTGTTTCGGGTCTGTTATTGTTTGTCTTGCTTTCCTTTTATCATACAATTCAGACTACCTGCAGGTAAAAATACATACTAAAAGGAGCGAGGGGGGCGAGGCTAGGCAAACTGCATGAAGAAGGAAGAACCTATTAAGGATCCCAGACGTGTGGAAAAGATCCGAGAAGGAAGCGGTACTGTACCGGTACTCTGCTTGATGCTCTTTTGACAGCCTCACTGTCTTGATTGAACCTTCAAAGCCCCCCACAGCCTACCGCTTTTATTATGCACCGGTTGCGCTCATGCATGCTACCCATCACCGACGCCGTTGCTCTGCCTAGCTAGCTTAGCCCCCCTCGCTCCTAAACCTATCTATTTAGTATTTATTTGTCATCATGCGGGTGCAGTAGTGCTGCTGCTGAACGATGGAAGTTGGCCCATGAAAAGGAGCTCCGATACGCACATGTGCCGTATCGAGAGATCACTGAAAAATGGACGTGCGTTCAATCCGTACGGTAAACATGCATGCTGCTCTTGCATTCTAAAACTGTTGCACCCTGCAGAACTAGAGCCCAGCCAGAACGACCCTCTTCTGCCCTCCACATTGCAATGAATGGCCTGCAGAGTTCCCAAGTAAGAAAGTAGGGAAGGAGTGTGGCTGTGTTGCTGGAAGCTGTACACAATCCCTTACGAAAAAGATTAGTTGCCCGAAGAAGTCATTTAGTGATGCAAATATTCAAAATTAGCGTTGTACTAGCTTGGAGAACTAGCCGCAGACTGGTGGACACGTAACAGGAGGCGTGATCATAGAAAGGAGAGGTGGGCGGAAGCTCGAGACTCTACTCTGATGTTTTGTAGTACGGAGGCAAGGCGGAAAATGGAGGAAAGGTGAGAGGGCCAGAAGACCTTTAAATGTAAATGTCTTCAGGCCACCTGTCAGCATCATAACTGAAAAACCCACTGGTAGCTTCAACAATCTTGGAAAAGGGGCTGGAAGCAGTTGCCTCAGCATCAGCCTCAGCTTCCGCCGGGACCTCAGTCTCTGCTTGGGCGGTATTACTAACATCGTCTTTCCCTTGCACTTTTTGTCGATACTTGGAAGCAAGGGCAAAGAGAATTCTGCCAAGAAATAGCTGTGCCAAGGCCAGAACAACCAATAGAACTGACATGATGGCAGTGACAACTTCAGCATTAATCCAACTTGGAGCTTGCAGCCAGCTCGAAAAACTCCAAGTTCCAATCTCCCACGATACATCAATTCCTTGGTAGGAGACTGCAAGGATGTAGGCAAAGAGGATGATCAGAATGACCTTGGTAATGGCATTATAAACTGCAGCAAAGTAACAGAGTTTCGGCCACCACCAACGGGTAGCATAGCCAAAGTTCTTGAGCACCAATGCAAGGTACATTGGTTGTTCAGTAGCTGCCATGAGGGTAAGAGTTGCTCCTAGCTTGGTGGCAAATTTAACCGAAAATGTTGCAATTCCTGGGAGTGTAAGAAAGCAAAGTGAGAATGGTAACACCAGACTATAGCTGTGAGAATTTTGATGCGCTTACCAGAAACAAAGCACAGCGAAGCCATGAAGATTGAAACTACATGGTGCAGAATTAAGTCAGATCGGACTCCCTGCTTGTAGAACAGCTCTGCCAGGTAAAGAAAGATCAGCCCAACCCCAATTGCACGGGTGGGAATGTAAAGGTTTGCATTCACTGTGTCCACATACTGATCATTCTTCATGAGATCAATGTAATCAACAATCAGAAAAGGAAGAGCCACAGTGCAGTACACCAGCTCAAGCACATAACAGACTGTGTTGCGCTTGGTTCTTTCACATTTCATTTCCTTGATGGCCTTCCACTGTGATGAGACCACGAAAATGAAGGCAAAGACAAGAAGCTGAAACATGGCAACATTGATGCCAGGATCTGTAATGCGAATTGGGGGTGTGTACAGCGCATCGCGGACCACCAATGCACATAATGCCTTATGATGATCAACAAGGGGCTTGAAGTCTGTTGTTTCTTTGTATGTTGGAGTATATGTTGCATTCTGGGATCTCTCATATCCAAACCTGGAGCTGACATGGCTCTTGCCAAACGGTTGATCAGCTGGCGTCAAAATACCCAGAGCACGGACAAATCCTGGGACGGGTGGAGCAATTCCAAGGAGGGCGTTACACATTTCTGAAGTTGCAGCGATTCCACCATATGTGTCCACCTCCTTTTGTGGCTTGTACACACAAGTCATGACCAGAGCATCACCGGGTAAATATTTCCACATTCTGAAGTTTGGCTGCGGACTTTTCTTGTCAAAGCTGATTGTATTAATAATGTCCTGTACATGCACTCCATCGCGGATCAATTGGAGTTGGCCACGGAGTCCTCTATCATGCATGTGGAGCAGGTTCGTGAAGACTTGCACACCACTGCGTGGGAGGGTAGCTTTTGATGCCTCGGCAGAAATCTGGTAGTGGACTGCATACTCCTTCTGCTCCAGGTCTGCAGGGATGTGGATGGTGTCTAGGTAGGCCTCCAGCGATACCAAAGAAGAAGGATTAGTTGATGTTGGCAAGGAAGGCGGCTCAGCCCACAGTCTCAGTCCTGCCCGATCATCAACAATGGGAGCTTGTGCTGCATTCTCATAGTGCACCTGCAGAATGTAGGTTCTGAACAAATACAACAACAAAGGGGGCTTTGTTAGATACATTCTGAATGCATACCTGTGAGGTTCATGTGTCTCACTCACCCCGGATCCAGAGGAATGTGAAGGCCAGGTGGACCTTTAGCGCGAGGAGATGTTGCAATGCCAAGGACTACCGGACAGGGGGGCATTTCATGCTGACATTCAAATAGTTGACCTTCCACAATGGATTCACTGTCTAGATCTCCTCCACAATGATAGATTGTCTGGTGGTGAATGTAGGACGGGCGCTCACCTGAGGCGCTATGGATCAGTCCATCACCCCAAACTGTTTCGGCTGCAACCACTCTTACTGGAATTTCAGGAGGAAGACGGAATGCCACACAGGCAAAGGATGTTACCTTGTCTTGTGGTAGAGTGACATTGGGCAGCTGGATATCAATCGCAACACGATCTTGTGCGCCAGAACCAGTTTCCCATAAAGTTACGAGGCCATCTTTATCCAGCAATGTCTTCTCACGCTCCTCATTAGAGTGGTTCGAGAAGCCAATTTTTCCGTACAATAAATCTTCGTCAATCAAGAAGTTAACAGTGGTAGCAGATCGATCTGTTGGTCCATGGTAGATAATCTCATTGTCGTTGTCTAGGTACCCCGAAGCACAGACAATGGACTGTTGGAATGCTTCAACTGCAATGTCATCATCATCACAGGAATCCAACGGGCGTTCCACCAAAGCATGTATCCGACCATCCTCATCAAGCTCAGCATGGAGCAGATCCACATTCATGAGAAAGTCCTTTCTTGGTTTGACAAAGTCAGTTGAGATGAGATCTTCTGCCTGGAAGGCTGGTTCATCAGTTCCGTTGTCAATCATCTTGACCAACATGATGTCGGCTCCTTTCATGGTACCAAACTCAGCAATCCCAAGGCCAACCCATTCGGCATCAACAGAACTCTTGAAGGCAATTCGTAGAGTCATGGCTTCCTTATCCACTGTCCACCTGATGTCGCTGCATCCATTGCCATCAATCTCAACAGAACGTTCCATGGGAGGAAAGGATGAAGAGGCACGGGTTGTTGCCAAGAAGCAAAGACAACACAAAGTTGTGGCAATTCGCATCATGTTTGTGTTGTCGGCTGGAAGAGTGAGCTTTAAATCAGGACAAAATAAATACTAATTGTTGTTTTCCTCCTGTGGTTTATGGCAGCAGTTCGACCCCTGCCTCCTTTTGCCGCCCAGCTTGACGTTTGGAGTACCGATACTAGCTAGACTACTCCTAGTAGTAGCTATCATAGCTAATAGTGAATGCTTCCGCGCCTCGATCGATATGGCATGTGGCATGCACCGCCCAGTTGAATGCGAACAGCTCTGCGAACTCTGGAATATTGCATACCAGGTACCGGTACATGTTACTCAGTACATGTTACATGTACAGCTTTCTCCATACTGAGTACTGTAGCGCAGAGCAGTTACGGTACACAAGTAGGTGAGGGCATATGTAGCATCAATCACACTTCAAGAGCCACAATTATTGCACTTACTTGGAACTTATGCTAAAGCAGACAGTCGTACTCAGAGTAGCCTTTTAAAAAATCTTAAAAATAGAATTCTATTATTTAGAAAAAGCTGCAAAGCAAGCAAATTTTGCAACGTCCGCCAGACCCCAGATGCAGACGCTCTGATTTCCGAACTCGAGAAAACCCTACGGGAGAGCCGTACAGTCGTACAGTACTGGTATGCACTATACTCAATAGCAATCAGCACAACTTTGGAAATCAGATAGATGCGGTAAATTATATATCATATACAAACATTCAGAGTAAAATATAACTTTAACTCTATGTTTACCCCAACTACCTTTTTAGTTGGTTAACTGGTTACTGGTATTTATTTTAGTAGGGTTGGATTAGAGGAGGATGCCGAAACCTCTTGTGTTCCAGAGACTGGAATGAGCTCAAGGCTCAGGGCACTGGGATGACCATGGCGTCCTCCAACTTTACCTTTAGGTGGTCCCTGCCCTCGACCTCCCTTAGCTCAGTTTCCTCTGTCCTCCCCTGCCTGACATCTCCTTCTGTTGGCCTGCTCATTGGTTTTCATTCTCTGGCCCCTCGATCTTTGCTCACAACTGACCACACGATTCGCCCCTACATGTACAGTCGTAGTCCCTTCTAACACATCGTAGCCATCCCTTTTACTGTTAATTGGGTCATCCCTGCTGCTGAGCTTTGAATGCTGACCCAAGTGTCAGTTTGCATCTGCAACTTGGCAACTGATGCTGATGCTGGAGCTAGGCGCTTCATGGAAGTCGTTGATCTCGGATGTTGACAATAGTTTCCCTTGCAATGTGGATATACATGTAGTCCAGTGCAATTTAGAAGGGCTGAAATGGGAACATGAGAAAGGATGCCTCCTCTGCCACGGATTGAGCAAACCCGTACACGTATTTCTGAATCGAACCGAGACTGCTGGGTACCAGTGCCAGAAGCCGTCAATCACACGTCAAGCACAACTATTATTGCACATGGCACTTGGAACAGCCAGGCAACGCAACATGCAACTCTCTCCTTCTTTGGTTTTGCAGGAGTCGGTCGTTCCGCTCATCACTCTTGCATCCTGCCCTCCACTGCTATCCGAAACCCATCCCCACATCCCCACCATATCGAACCCGCAGCAACTTCTCTTGTACAAGATGCTCGCAACATCAATGGGGTTTAGAGTAGGTGGATTATTATTGCAACCGGAAGCATGCAGAGAGCTACTGTAGACCCCAAACTGTGCCAATATTCCTTGATATCTAGCTAGCTAGCTAGCTAGAGCGGTGCTGGTACCGGTACTTTTACTGTACCTCCTCTCGGTGGAGCTGTGCACTGACTGCGGCGTCCCGGGCGGCAAATCATAAAGCCAGCTAAAGTGCTCGTGGCGTTGCGGAACTTTCAGGTTTTCGTTGAAGTGTTTTCTGTGAACACAACGGTATCCCCACATGGCTGGACACATGGCAGGGCACATGGGATGGAAGATGCTTCACAGCAGTATGGATGCAATAAAACACAGGGAGGAAGCAGAAGCAAGATGCTGTTGACGCTAAGTGGTTCTTTGAGCAGGGGAGAGCGGTTTGAGACCAAGAAGGAAAACGGAGAACCTTTCTTGGGAGTGGTCATGAAGCGGGGATGTGACTATCAGCGCGCTGGAGCTCATTTCAGCCTCAGTGCGGTGTTCTATACACGGGAGCATATCCATGGAGCATTTCATGATGGAAGTGACGTTTCTTATGGTAACATCAGAGAAGAGTGGAAGCTCCACGTTACGCAAGCTCCAAGCGGACAGTGGCTCACGATGAACAACAGGATGCTGTTTGCATACAATTCGTTGCGATACGCAGACGGGGAAGCAGATGGCGGAGACAAACACATTCAGGATATACTGCTGGAAATGGAAAAAGTTCAGGTGGTACCATATTCGGAAGCAAGGAGCATCTTGGAGAGTCTCGACACGCCTCAAGACAATGGCAATACGTGCTACGTTCTCGGTGATCCGTACCGAGAGGATTGGATCTGCAGCGATCTAGTGGATCCTGAGGCTTATTACAAGTACGTTCTAGAGTACCCAAGCCTTGAACAGGAGAAAGTAGAGTACCCGGGCCTTGAGCAGGAGGAAGAAGAGTACTCGACCTTTGAACAGGAGGAAGAAGAGGACTCGACCTTTGAAGAGGAGGAAGAAGAGTACACAACCTTTGAACATGAGGAAGAAGAGGAAGAGAAATTCAAATTCCTCTTCCTCTTTATTTTGCCATCGCTTCTCCTTAGACGAATGTTGGGTGCTTGTGTTTATGGGGAGGAATTCGAATAAGCTGCACACGGCTAAAGTTGGGTGTAGATTGTCCTTTGCTTAGTTTGACCGATTGATTGTTGTTTACTGACTGGCAGCACGCAAAGACCACGAAGACCACGAATTCATGCGACACTTGTATTTTCGGCGTTGGCGTCAACAACATAGTTATCTTCGCCAGGTTTCTCCCAGCCATCGTCACCTCCATCAGGTGGTTGAAAGAAAGGAAGAAACCTTTCCGCAACTCGTTGTACCACTTCTTCAGGCCAATGCAGCCCACGGGAGGGGTGATATCGGTGCATCCAACGGGGGACGATTTCAAAGCCGTCATCTTTTGATTGCGCTTTTTGCATCGACGATAGAGTAACATGACAAGAGACTTCCAGGAGTCGCCCAACTTCATTTTGTCATCAAAATCCGAAGGAGATCGCACGAGCCACAGAGACATCAACAAGTCACGTTTGGGCTGTCGTCTCGGATCTCAGATCCCCAAAGTGGAAACGCCAGAAGGCAGAAATGGAGGGGAGGATCCACCAGAGCATCGTGGCATTTGTACTCGTCTCATCCCATGGGGCCGATCCATGATGTCATGGTTAGAACCGTCGGCTGTGGATTCTCTTGTTCCCCACTTGGTCCAGCTTCCAACAGGGTTCTGAAGATATCATACGATTCTCCATTGGAGCCTTGGATCCTCTTTGGTGAGCTCTCCGTGAAGGTACTATTTTAAAATAGTAACTCGTGCAGATAACTCGTGCGGATCAATCACTCGTATGGCACCACGTACCACGTACACTGTACCGCTATGGAAGCTCAAGTTCGAATTTCAATGACTCGACTCGACTCGACCATGTACTTGGTACTAGCTAGTACCAGGTACTGGTACCTGGTACATGGGAAATCCCTTGAAATGTGAGAGCAAACAATTTACGGATCCTGAAACTGCCAGAACTTGATCCTATTAATAGGCCTGATCAGGCTTGGCCACAGGGGGTATGATCCAATAATTAACAGTACTGGAACGGTGTTGGACGTTAGTACCAAAACGGTACTGAAGAATATTCAAGGATTTAACAACTTCAACTCAAGTTCACGAAATAATTGTGTGACTGCACGACTGCACAGACTTTTTTCAGCCAAGCTGCGTGACTCGCCAAGCCTCAAGCCTTCAGGATCCTACGACTGTACACCATACAACTGAACAACTGCAGTACCCTCTAAAACGGCAGAAAACCGAGCCTCACCCAACCCTCAATACAGGAAGGTTGCTGGGCATTGGGCAAGTATGGAACCTTCTGCAGCCGAAATGGATGATGAGGAAGAGTTGATGGATATAGTGGCTGCTAGAAGCCGGGGGGACAATAGAGAGGCGGAGCTCAGAAAGCTGGAAAAGTTTGAATTGGAAGCAAGACAGAGAAGTGATGAGCAATCAAAGGGAGAGGAAATTGGGTTCCAGTTCCCGCAGCATCATCCCAGCACAACAGGGGACATCTCCATGGGAGAGGACATCAAAGAAGAAGAAAAGGAAAATGATGTCATTATTTCGAAGCTAGTACAAGATCAAATAAAGAATCATCCTCAAGTTACCAGCGAAACTCCTTCAGCAGAAGCTGGTCTAGAGGACGAGCTTGCTCTCCCACAGCCAAGGTTGAGTTGTGTACAAAATCAGTCCAATGCGACTACTACGCATCCAGGAGCGTATGCAGTGGCCCCCAGGAATTCAGGCAATGAAAGTACAGCAGATGACCAAGCCACAACTCCCACAGACAACAATAGTGGATTGGCAGTGGCGAACCGGGTGAGAGAAAGTCAAGAACCTGCGCAGATTGCTAGGCCCAGCATTATTTTGCATGATAATGACGGATCAACCTCTATGACTCTCATGATCTCTGTGCTCATAGGTAGCCTTCTCATTGTTGGAGTGACTGTTGGTTCCATCTGCGGAGCTGGTCTCTGCAGCAACAAAGGAGTTGATGTGGAGACTCAGGCTCCCACTTCCTTTCGATATTTTGTTTTGGAGGACATTCAAAACATAATTGAAGAGGCTTTTGGACCTGACTATTTTCCCAAAACTGATGAGCCAGAACCCACCGAGCCAAAGTTCAGAGCTCTTGATTGGATTGTGTTTGCAGATCCCCTGCAGCTCGACCCAGATGCCAACAATCTTCTTCAGAGGTTCATCGTGGTATTGACTTACTTTCAAACATCCCGGGAGAGTGACTGGCGCGCCTGTGCTCCACCTACAACTGCACAGGGTGAAACATGTGAGATTCAAATCGTGAGTTCCGGATCATTTGCAAGTAGGTGGCTTGCAGGTGCTCACGAATGTCAATGGGCAGGAATTTTTTGTGACGGAGAGAGGACCATTACGCAGTTTCATCTCAGTGAGTTCTTTTCTAGTTTTGTTGACCACAACAAGAACCAAAATGCACGATTCTTGTACTTATTCTTAGCTTGCGTTCATTATCAGGTTTTAATGGATTGAATGGCCCTCTGCCCACAGAACTTGCAAGTCTTCCCGCACTGGAGTTACTAGACTTTTTTGGGAACCCACTGACAGGCACAGTTCCAATCGTATACGGCAGCTTCCTATCCCTTTCTGCACTTTATCTGGCCCACTGCCAACTGTCTGGAAGTATTCCGTCTGAATTGTTTGTTGGAAACAAGCTCTCTGTGTTGCATTTTGCAAACAATTCACTAACAGGGACATTGCCCACAGAAGTTGGACTCTTTGATGGGAATATTCTTGGATTTGGTTCAAACAGCTTGTCCGGTTCCATTCCTACAGAGCTCTTTCAGACTGGCAACCAATCCACACTTTTGGTTTTAATGACAATAAGCTGACAGGAACTCTACCCACCGAAATCGGAGCATTGCATGGACTTACGAATCTCATCTTCTTTTTGAAAGGGAACCCCTTGAGCGGAACCATCCCATCCGAAGTGGGACTCCTGAAAGGCTCTCTCAGAGCCTTTGATATCAGTTGGACCCACATGGACGGCTCCCTGCCGGAGGAACTCTTTGCGAAATGTACCAATTTGAGTTTGTTCCAGGCCTCCAACTGTGGCTTGACTGGGACCATCAGCACTGGACTGCAGCTTTTGACAAAGCTAGAAATCTTTGACATTTCCAACAACAAGTTGACTGGGACCATCAGCACTGGACTGCAGCTTTTGTCAAACCTATACAACTTTGACATTTCCAACAACAAGTTTCATGGCACCATCCCAACACAGATGTCTGCTCTAACAAATCTTCGCGAGTTTATTGTGAATGGGAATGACCTTTCTGGTTCCATGCCATCATCTGTCTGCACTCTGGAAGACCCTACCAAGGGCACATTTGAAGTGGCAGCTGACTGTTTGCCAAGGGATGGCACAGGCAATCCCATGGTAGAGTGCTCTTGTTGTACTATGTGTTGTGATGGTGACGCTGCTGACTACTGTCTGTCCAAGTAGGGTTCCAGTGACAAGCCTAGCCAGGATAAAATGGCCCGGGGTTTCTCTTGGAGCGAGTCCGCAGCATGCAACGAGAGATAGGAAATCTGCCAAGATGTTCGTGACCTCAGCTTGTAAGTTAAAAATGGCCACCAATGTTCAATGATATAGCTAGCAAGCCAAAAGTACACTGTGCAAATAAAAGCGGTGGTCTATTCATCCGGCGCCACAATGAATTCGTAATGAACTCGGCTCCATTGCCCATTGCATGCGAATGCTTTGGTTCCTCTGTGGTTCAGTCGGCCACCTCTAGCTAGAGCTGCTGCTAAACTCCTCGACTCTGTCGGACAAGGAGGTTTTAGAGTAAGGAATTCTGTTTGATCAGGAGGAACGGCTGGTGGGCAGAGTGTCTGATGTTACGTGTTTATAACGGGTTCATCCAGGGCAAGGGCACCGAAAGCAACCTCGCCCCTCTGGCTTGAAAGTCTGGATGCTGGCAAAGCTCTGTTGGATCGGGAGGAAACGGCCACACGAGCAGATATGGGTTGGATGTTACTTCTGTGAAGGGCCCAGCCAGGGGAAGGGCAAAGAAAGCAACCTCTTCCTTCTAGCTAGCAGAAGATGCCAAGATGCCCACGGTGTGCTGAGACGGCAGAACCGAGAGCACTTGTAGTTTTAATAGACAGGTAGACCAATAAGAGACACAAAATCCTGCAACAGGTTACGTTAAGACACTAGCTAGTAGGTTCTCTCTGCTAGCAACTAGATTTCAGCTGACACTGTCTCTGAAATCAACGGCAGCCAATTCCACAGCCCAAGCCACGGATCCGCCTCCGCACAACAGGGACATCATCACCTAGAAGCAAATGCAACGGTGAGCTGATTGGGTACTTGTGCTCGTGTCAACTTTCTTGTCTAGTAGTCTCCTGTGGTGCAACACGGCGCCCTGTTAGTGCACCGATGACGTCGACCAGGAATCCCTCAGTAGTCACCGCAACAGTCGTCGAACATACCGTAGTCACCTTCGTCTTCTGCAGATTCCATAGCCCAAGCATGCTCATCTTCATCTGGAGAGCCATCTTCGATCATCTTATCCGATCCTTCGGTGGGACTGACGGCACGCTTCTTGTTGTAGGGAGTACGGAGAGCGGGAAGCCTGTCGAATTGGACTTCAAACTCGGTCTTGCGAGGAGTCAAGACGATAGTGACGCCCTTCTTGTTCTTGAAGATGTAGGCTCCCGTGTCATTGTTCAAGCCCACAAGGTCATTGGCGTTGAAACGCTCCAATACTTGCTTTCGAGGGCGCTTCGCGTCATCAGTCTTCTTCTGGTAGTAAACGACGACCTCCTGTTTGAGAGGATTGCCACTAAAGTCGTTGAGACCGTCCTTGCGGCCAGAGAAGATTTTGCCTTCCTTGTCTGCTTCCTTTAGTTTGACCATATACGAGATCTGTTTGAGCTCAAAAGCTATAATGAAAGAGAGACGGGAGCGACGTGAGTTTTGGAGAAGTGACCAGACCCGCGACGAGAACACTGATTGGTACTAACCAGGGCGAGCATTGAGGAACTTGAGAACCTGAGCTGGCGTTTCATCGTATCGATTCATTTCTTCCACCATTCCCTTCAACATGTCAAAGTTGAACGCCCGAAAGACGCCGGAAATTGTCACCACCTTTTCAATGTTGTCCTTGTTTTGGAGATTGTCCTTGCAGTAGTCTCGAATGAAACTGGGGCCAAGGCCGTCAAAGTCCAGCGTGTAGTAAATACGACCAGGGCGGTTTCGCATGTTCTCGTTCACACGCCACTTGTCATTGCAAGTGAGCAAAAATAGTTTTTGGGAGGGATAGATACCGTCCAAGAGAGTGAGGAGTTTTTCCTGTTGGCCGGGCTTGTACACCTTTTCGTACTCGTCAAAGAGAACCACCGTGGGCTGTTCGATCATTTGTAGGAAAGTGTTGAAACCTTCTCCGCTAAACTCTTGGTTGACCACCAGCGTTGGGATTCCTTCATCCTCCCTGGCTTTGATGGAAAGCATCTTGGCCAGCAATGTCTTGCCGCTACCCTTCTCCCCCGAGAGCAAAACACCGGTGGATGCTTCCTTTCGATCCAGGAAAGTGTTCATGATGCGTTCCGCGTGCTTCGTGGTGTCTCCGTAGAGCTTGTGATTGATTTCAAAGTTGTCGATTTTTTCTAGGTAAAACTGCCCGGAACAGCTGCTAAAGCCGACGGTGTAAGTTCCGATGGGCAGAGTCTCATGAATGTCAAGCGCCTCCTTGCTCTGGAGGGTGAATGTCTTTCCTTTCTTGATGAAATGCGTCATGGTCGATGATTGATGTGTTTTCTTTTTGGTTTGGTTTTGGTTTGGTTTTGTAAGTTTCTTTGTTGTGAGAGAATCGAGTTGTGAGAGAATCGAGCGTATCGAGGTGTTGCTGGGTGGTTGCAATTTGTACCAATAGTCGCTCCTCCAGACGTGAATGCTAGTACGTCTGAGCCTCCAAAACTTTGAAAGATGGGTAGGTAGTGGTTGTACCGGTATGGTTGGCTAAGCGGATCATCTCAGTCGGAGGTCCTGATCAGGAGTCAAGGCACCCTTTGTGTCCCGCTTCCTCCGGGTGGGAGGTGCGGTGGGAGGTGGGAGCAACAAAGGAGGAGGAAAAGGGCTGCTACTGCGTGGGTCGTGCTCGCTCCCAGTGATGGCTTGCTGTGGTACCACTTTCATAGCTAGCGGTAGCTAGGAGCCGGAGCCATCGTATCAGACAATATCCAGCGTGGTGTGGATTGCAACACTTTCGTAGGTCCTGCGGGATCTCGACCAACTACGCTACCCGTACCATCACTAACGGAACCCAACTTATCGAGGACAAAAAATGGGTACGACTGGGTAATCATGAGAGGCTGATGATGTGCAGTGGGCGCTCTTGCATGGCGTGGAAAACAGAAGGGTCCAAGTCGCTTTCGATCGAAAGGAAGGATCTGGTGCGAGGAATCTGGAAAATGGGGATTCTCAAGAATCATTTTGTTCTTTTTGCTGATTCTTAAGAATCATCAGGCACCCAGTATGCAACCTAATATACTAGCAATATGGGCTTCATAGCTAGCAATGCTATCCCCTGATACTATCTGCTAACCAACAACAATGTTTGCTGATAAGACAAGCCTTGTAATGATGCATTAGTGCATACCAAAACGATTGCAATGGAGTCTTTCTTGATTTTTACAAGTATTCCCAAGATTCAGTATATTTGCATTGAGGATTCTTAAGAATCATCATAATTTGGAGAGGATTCTTAAGAATCAGCAAATTCCATTCAATGATTCTTAAGAATCAGCATTTTTCATTGCTGATTCTTAAGAATCATCTAGCTTTTTCTTAAGAATCTGATTTTGAAAAAACTGATTCTTAAGAATCATTTGCTGATTCTTAAGAATCATCAATTTCCAAGAATCTGGAAAATTCTGATTCTTAAGAATAGGCTGATTCTTAAGAATCCTTGTCTACCCAGTATTTGATTCTTAAGAATCATAATTTTCCCAAGATTTTTTCCTGATTCTTAAGAATAATCTGATTCTTAAGACTCCTTGTAACAGATCCAAAGATCTTTGTCATTGGGATCTGATTGACTGGCTTATTGCTACCTGCCACCATCCATTCGTTCGAACCCCTCTCGAACAGCATTAGCACTCATCCACCACCAACTCTCTCCTCGTTTCCTCCAACACAGTAGTAAAAGTATGTGTGAGTTCTGCGCATTTCCCAATGGCGACAATAATCGCGATGCCCGACACACTGATTTTGCAGGATTCTTCAGTGCAGATGCTATCGAAGCGGCCGTTCGGCAAGCCCAGCAACAGCCGAGTGAGGATGCTCAAGGCGGGGAAGATGATGATGGCACCTAACTAGTGCTAGCGATCGCGTATCACCATGGCAATCCATTGGATTGAGAATATGAACAGTAGATACCGTACGGAGGAAGTCGACTACTAGTACACTCTCTAATCCTTCGCTAATAGCTACGCGACGATCTGCCAATTATTGGAGCTAAAATTGAGCATTTTCTGAGGCAATCTCGCTACATGTTCTTCTAACCACCTGACGGCGTTACCATGTAGAGTAACCCAAAGATAGATCAGCAAAAATGACAAGGCTAGCTAGATAGTTTGCTAGCAAACCAAAGCTAGTTCTATTTACCTTTACTTCTTTTTTCAGTGTACTTCTAACGTCTGCGCTGGCAAAGTTCTAGTTCTAGTTCTAGTTCTAGTTCTAGTTCTAGTTCTAGTTCTAGTTCTAGTACGGTAGGGGTGGCTGTGCACATCCTCCATGGCTGCATCCTCCTCACTTCTTCCTTGCAACTTCCTCATGCCTTCTTTTTGGAGCCAGAAACAATGTCATCGATACGCCTGCAAGCAAAATCATGACGAACCAAAAGGTGAGAAATCCATTATCCACCAATGACACAAACAGGGCAACATCCTGACTATACACTCGGCAGTATATAGTACGTACAAGATCATGCAAGCACTCTCAATGGCTGTCTTGATGGTTTGCACCTTGACACTGAGTGGTTCCCAAATGCCATATTCTTTCATATCCACCAGCTCGCCAGTCACACCGTTGATTCCCCACGAACATGGCTCAAAGGTTTCCAAACCAATATTTTTGTCGTATGCTTCGGCATGCTTGGCTCTCAGCTGGGTAATGGTTCGAATCACACTGACCCCACAATTCTGTGCCAGCGTTTGAGGAATAATCGCCATGGCTTCTCCTACTGCCTTGTAGGGATCTTGCTGAATTCCTTCCACCATTTGTCCCTGTCGTCGCAGTCCCACGGCAATTGCCATTTCAATGGCACCACCTCCGTAGACCAACTTGGGGTTGTAGACGACATTCCGGACGACTTGCATGGCATCGTGTAGATTGCGTTCAATTTCATTCAAGACATCTTTGGAACCACCTCGCAGGATAATCGTACATGCCTTGGGGTCTTGACACTCTTCCAAGAAACAAAACCAATCGTCCCCAATTTTGCGCATTTCAAACAATCCACAATGGGTACCAATATCGCGTTCGGTAATTTCATCCGCTCGCGAGACAATAGTCGCTCCCACGGCCTTGGCAATGCGATTGTTGTCCGTTTTACGAAGGCGTCGAAAGGCGGTAATGTTGGCTTTGGCGAGATAATGTTGGGCCAGATCCGAGACACCCTTTTCGGATATGACAATATCTGGTTTGTGCGCAATGATTTCCATGCACATGTTTTCGACATATTCCTCTTCCATTTTGAGTAGGGTATTCCAATCGTCTTCTCCACTAATATCCATTTGCGTCTGGGATTCTCCCTTTTTGTACTCCAAAGGAGAATCCAAGAGGAGAATGCGGGGATTTTCAATGCGACGCCTCATTTTGGAATGGACCGTGTCTTTTTGGAACATGACGCCCTTCAGGACACAACAGTCGTCAATTTCTCCGCCGGGAATCTTTTCGACCTTGGCGTAGCGTTTCAAATCGACTTCGTAGATTGCAGAGGCAGGGGGCGGCGTCGCTTCCCAGTCCTTATCCTTCACGGAATTGCTAGTTTCGGCCGCCGTGGAGAGTGCCAGAGACGGCGCCCGCTGTGTGGCGACGGTCAAGACGGCCGCCAATGCCATTTCGACCATTTTATCATTCCACCTCGCACTGAATTTGGTCCCAATCGACGATTCGACCAATTTCTTGAGCAATTCCTGATGATTTTTGGTATCCGAAAAAATATCAATTGTAACGGCGTGTTGTTCGCAAATTTCCAGCGCATCCGTCAATGCCTTGGTGTAGGCTTGGACGAGTACCGTCGGATGATACGTATGCTCCTGTCGCAAAAATTGTTCGGCGCCGTGGAGCATTTGCGCCGCCAGGACAATCACCGAAGTGGTCCCATCACCCACTTCTTCGTCTTGCGCTCGCGACAATTCAATCATGGATTTGGCCGTGGGATGACTGACATCGACTTCACGTAAAATGCAATGGCCGTCATTGGTCAAGACAATTCCGCCCATGGGATCCAAGAGCATTTTCAGCATCGAACGAGGACCAAGGGTTGTGCGGATAATATTGGCCACGGCACGAGCGGCCGCAATATTGCCCAATTGCGCAGCACGGCCAGTTTGACGTTGTGTCTTGGCGTCTATAAAAAGAGTGAGAATGATAGCGAGAAAAATGACAAGAATGAAATGGGCTTGTTGCTAGCAACAGCCAAGCGCCCAACCGTCAACTGGAACCGTGAGAAGCTACACTTCCAGCTAGCTAGAGAACTTACTGAGCACCATGACAGGAGGACCACCGGGACCCATTTGCATCATCTTGAACGTAGTTTTGGGTTAGTTAGATAGTCGGACAAGATGAAACGAGAAAGAGACGCAATGCTTGCGGATTTTCGGTTTGTGGCCACACACCCAAAGATCTCCTGCGCCAATGCGCTGCCGATTACACCCCAACAGAGCTGCTAGACCATCCAATCCCTGGTTCATGCAAGCAGTCTTTGAGCCAGCCAAGCACGACGCGCAACCCAAAGTACCGGTGGCTGTCAGGTTTTGGGCTTGGAAACTGGATTCGAAACTGGGATGGAGATGCGGGAATACCTATTTTCCTGGTTTTATCGTCATGCTTCAATTTCTTTCTTTTGAAAGAAGAACTTAAAATTGAAGATGACTGAAAATGGAAGAATGATTGAAAATGGAAGAATGGCTGAATGTAAGAACGACGCAATCTGGAAGAGTCTACTTAATTTTGCGTAACAATCAGTACAAGGTAGCGTAATCTGGAAGAACCAAGTAATCTGGAAGAATAGAATGGTGGAATTCTGAAGCGTGACTCAAAGTGGAAGATTAAATTTTAAATCCAGCATTTGACCAAAAAGGCAGGCTACAGAAATGAAGCCAATTTTAAAATTCCCCGCAACTCCGTTCGCTCGATCCTCTTTTCCGACCATTGTCACAAAAACTGATGCATGCAATCGATGCCCGTGGTGTTGCGGCAATAGTATTGTTTGCATCACAGAGCCGAGCTTTACTACTAACTCAAAGAGGCGTTTGATATACTAACATGTCGGAAAAGGACCAAAAGCAAGATGGTGGTATTTCGGGAACTCAGCAGGAATCTGCAGTCATAATGGGCGATTCACCGCGTTCCACCAATACGACCACTACTACGACAGTGGATGAAGAAACCGCATCCAATAGGGATGCGGCGAGTACGACCGCTGCTAGGAAAAGGGCAGAAGAAACCGCAGTCAAGGCTGCAGTGAGATCCAGCAGTACAATTCCTGTCAAAGCACCAGGTGTGACATTCCACAGCAACAACAACAAAAACACAGAGCCAGAATCCAGGAAATTTGCGTATGTCAGAGCCAGTGCCACCGAGAATAATCATACAGCCGGTAATAGTGTCACCACGATGGCCACTAACAACAACAGGAATAGGAGTTCTACTACAGCGAGCACACAACGACGAGGGCTAAGGCAAATGAGAAATAGTACCAGCGAAACCGAAGCAAGAGGCTTGCTGGTAGGGTCCAGTCTTCAAAGATCCACAGAAGAAAAGGCCGAGGCTGCTAGTAGGAGAACAAGCAGAGCCACTGCCATTGTTTCCGCCACCGGGAACAAGAGTCCCACTGTAAGCCAGGAAATCGGGCTTGGACGAACAGGTACCAAGGAATCAGTAACCACCAACTCACCAGTAGGACGCGGCCTTCAAAGGTCTGCTGAAGAAAAGGCCGCCAAAGAGGCTGCTAGAACCAGCGGGTCCAATGTTGCGATTGTTTCCGCCGTCGGGACCAAGAGTCGCACTGTCAGCCAAGAACGCGGGCTTAAACGAAAAGGTGCCAAAGAATCAGTAACCGCCAACTCGCTAGTAGGACACGGCCTTCAAAAGTCCGCTGAAGAAAAGGCAGCCAAAGAGGCTTCCAGGTTAAGCAGATCCACTGTGATTGCTTCCACAGTCAGGAACAAGAATCCCACTGGAAGCCAAGAGCACGGGCTGAAACGCATGGGTACCAAAGAAGGCCAAACCGCTGGATTGCGGAAAGAGGAAGGGTCTGGAGGTGTAGTCGACCTAGCTCCCACAAGTACAGCTAAAATCACTGACCCAAGCGATGTACAGGATTTGAATGGCAAGAATGGAAAACGTCAAATGGCAGTGAGGTTGTCAGCACTTGCTACTGCAGATATGGATGAAAGGGCAGGTGATTTGGAATTTCAAGGGCCACCTTTGCCACTGTCAGGAGATAGCAACGAAGGACTGGTCGAAGCTAGAGCTGTCACTGAGGAATCCAGTATGCTAGTCCTCCAGGAAGCTCAACAGGTTGATGCTGCTGCTTTGGAACAGCAAGCCACCAAAGAGAAGAAGGAAACAGACTGCCGAAGAATTGGCTGTGCTCTCATTGTTGGTTCTCTTATGATTCTTGGCGTTAGCCTGGTTGTTGGATTGCGTCCCAAGGATCGAGCTTCCAAAGGTAGCACCCACACAGCTACTCCAACTGCCTTTGGTTCTATGCAACCTTCCGGAGTTCCTTCCTCAGCCCCAACTGGAATCCTGGATTTCATAATGGAAGATTTGCCAAATTACACTTTGGAGAGCTTGCAGACTTTTGGGACACCCCAGTGGCGAGCATGGGACTGGCTGCTGGACCACCAAAACATAACCCAGTTGCCAGAGTGGAGGAAGGTGCAGCTCTTTGCTCTGGCCACATTCTACTACTCTCTTGAGGGAGAAAATTGGTTTGAACCTATCCGAGAAAAGTGGATGGATGACTTTGTGGACGAGTGCCTGTGGTTCTCCAGTGGGTTTTCCTATTTTGAGAATGGTGTCTATGCAGAATATCCTCCCTCATATGCAACTCTTCCGTGCAACCATCTTGGAGAATATACAAGTCTTTGGGTTGAAGATCTCTCCCTTTCAGGTCTTGCACCAGTTGTTCCCCCAGAAATTACTCTGTTGACATCCTTGTCTCAGATTGGGCTGGGAAAAAACAAGATTTCTTCATCGATTGATATTATGCTGCCAAGTGAAATCTACAAAATGACAGCATTGACATCTTTGAGTTTTGCTGGCAATCGGTTGTCTGGTAGAATTCCTACAGAGCTTGGACTTTTGACTGCATTGGCGTTGCTAATGTTAGATAACAATGATCACCTGTCAGGCCAGATCCCCTCCGAGCTTGGACTTTTGACTGCACTTACACGGCTAAGGTTACACTACAATCGTTTGTCAGGGTGGATTCCATCAGAGCTGGGCAGCATGAGTCATTTGATTGATCTGAGATTACAGTGGAACCAACTCACAGGCCGGATCCCAACAGAGCTTGGACGGCTGACTTCTTTGGAATGGTTGTTTTTGGCCACTAATGAATTGACCGGTCAACTTGCAACAGAGCTAGCGCTATTGAGATCTCTGAATATCTTGTGGTTGGATACAAATCCATTGACCGGACAAATTGCTACACAATTCGGAACAATGGTCAATCTAACTGTCTTCTCTGCCAGCACAAATCTCTTAACAGGTCCCATTCCTTCGGAATTTGGATTGCTGACCTTGAAAGAGTTTTGGTTAGAAGTCAATGAGTTCACCGGTGAAATTCCAAATGAAATCTGGTTGATGGCCAGCTTGGACAAGCTCTACTTCCGCATGAATTCCTTAACAGGATCCTTGCCCAGTCAGATTGGTCTGTTGACATCCTTGCTCGAGCTGGACCTTTCCACTAATCGCTTTACTGGGACAATCCCAAATGAAGTTGGTTCCATGACATCCTTGCAAAAGCTGTATCTGTACAACAATAGCTTGACAGGAACCCTACCCCTTCAACTTAATTAATGAATCAATGGGGCTGAGACTGGAAGGGAATCAATTTTCAGGTGCTGTGCCCGAGCATCTCTGTTCTGCCCTGTGGTGTGATTGTGCAGCAAATGCAACGCCAGTATCCACCTGTGCCGACCTAAATGAGCTTATAAGTTTTCCAGGAAGGTTTCCCGGAACAAGAGCTGACAAAGATGGCAAACAGATTGTTCTCAACGTGGAATCTGACGGAAACCCGGCTGAAACCAGCTGGTTCTGGCAAAAGGAAACAAACTCATCTGGTGTTTGGATAACGCTGCAAGAATCGGGAGATGCAATTCAAGTTCCACATGTCTTGTACTCTTTCGTTCTTTCTCTTGCGGCCGAAACAAACTATAAGCTCACAGTTTTGGACAGTTGGGGTAAAGGCTTTGTCCCCTCTGGATGGATAACTGTGACTACATCAAATCAGACTGTGCTCTACTCTTTTACAGAAGTTGACACTCCGTTCTCGAAGATCACAGTTGACCTTTCAGTTGGAGCTGATGGTTCAGTTGAGGAGATCACATCAGTTGTTGAATGTGATCCTGTATTTGAGTTTTGCTAAGTATGATACGGAAGATACCTTCCCTGCAAAGTTACTTTCATAGCAGCAGAAACTCTATAGCTGGTACAGTAACATTTTTTATGGGGGTCTACTGTAACAATTGTATGGGAGTCTACTGTAACCGTCAGGAGGGTTTCTACAGAAGACAAAAGGGGGGGAAACAACTCCCGAAACCATCCGAACCCCCTGGACCTCTGTGGAAACTTCATTCGTGGAAAAATACTTATGAGACGATACACCAAGGCATAGGAGACGATCGAAATGATTTAAGAGACGAAAGCAATCGTCTCCTATATTTAGGAGACGATTCAGTAGGAGACATTCCAATTAGGAGACGAAAGTTTCGAAATAGGAGACGATCTGAAAGATTTAGGAGACGATACCATACAGTTTACATGGTACACTTAGGAGACGATCCGTTGAGAATAGGAGACGATCCGTTGAAAATAGGAGACGATTTAAGAGGAGACGAAAGATTTAAGAGACGATCCATTTCGTCTCCTATTTTTAGGAGACGAAATCCATTAAATAGGAGACGATCAAAAGGATTTAGGAGACGATCGGTAGCACGACTCGAGTTTCCACAGAGGTCCAGGACCTCTGTGGAAACGTCATTCGTGGCAAAATACTTAAGAGACGATACACCAAGGCATAGGAGATGATCGAAATGATTTAACAGACAATAGCAATCGTCTCCTATATTCAAGAGACGATTCGATAGGAGACATTTCAATTAGGAGACGATCGTTTCGAAATAGGAAACGATCCGAAAGATTTAGGAGACGATACCATACAGTTTACATAGTACACTTAGGTGACGATCCGTTGAGAATAGGAGACGAAAATAGGAGACGATTTAAGAGGAGACGAAAGATTTAAGCGACAATCCTTTCGTCTCCTATTTTTTGGAGACGAAATCCATTAAATAGGAGACGATCAAAAGGATTTAGGAGACGATTGGTAGCACGACTCCAGTTTCCACAGAGGTCCGGCTCTTGGGAGGATATTTTGATTTGCTTGCCAGATGCTCATGGATCTTCGAAGGTTGCCTCTTGCAAGCTACAAAGCATCCTAAAGCCATGTTGTAGCTGCTATTGCATTTGAACAATTATTCAACAACCATGAGGTCGCTGTTCCTTCTCAAAGACGCCCTTGTACTTGGCGTTCTGATTGTCGTCGCTTCCTTCAGCGGCTGTGATTCCGAGGCCACAACAACCGACCACAGGGTTATGGTCCCAATTCTTCCTGAAAGCAGTAAAGAGCTTCTTGCAGACGTCGAGAACGTGGAAACAACCCAGCAGCAGCAGTACCGGTATGTTGTCAACAACCATACGGCACCGGTACCCGCGCCGTTCATTGTTCGGCGTCCTCCCACTGCGGCGCGTAGTATTGTTGCCGAAGATGACGACGACGACAGTGATGAGGATGATGATAGCGAGGATGATGGTGAGGAGGATGACACTTCTTTGTTGGAAACAGACTGGTGGAAGAACGACTACACCGTGGAGCAAATGTGGGATATTCTGAATTGCTGGGATTATCTGGAGGATGAGGATCGATGGGATTGGGCCCAACCCGACTCGTGGGCACGGCTCCGTCAAGCTTACAACGATGGCTCTGCCGATGACGGTGGATTTTTCGTTCCGGTATCTGTCGGGAAAAGTCCCGGAAAGGGACTCGGTGGTATGGGACTTGGCGTCTTTGCGGAAGCCAACATTCCCGAGGGCACCAAGATTCATACTCAATCAGCTGCGTCCTTTTCAAGTGCACAAGACTACCGCAAGTTCTTGGGATCCCTGGAATCGCCCCCCATGGCATGCGATATCCTGCATTGGAGCTTCATTGGGGCAGCACCACGCAACAATACTTCTTCTGCTATAGTGCAGCAGCAGGAGACCGCACGAATCCAAGTACATCTCGACCCATTTTCGTGTATCAATATGGCGGCAGGCGACAGGGAGCTCAACGTTGGATGTCCACCCGGTTCTGATTCTTGCGACACCAACACCTACGCCCTTCGAAACATACGCAAGGGGGGAGAGCTCTTGGTGAAGCACTATGGTGACGACTACTCCAATGAAGGATGGCGGTGGTTTGGATTGCTGCCTGCTCAAGCTCAATAATAATTCCGAGTGCACGGTTTCTTTGTCTACAGGATCGTCAGCGCGTGAGATGTCAATTCTGAAACCAACTCTAAAAGCTTTTCGTGCACTACATTTCCAGTACTTCAAAACCAATCCCTCCGAGCTCTGCTTGACCAGTGGAGAAGCTTGATCACGACCAGTTTCTATCCATAGTGTGTGAAGTATCGATGCTACAGGGCCCTGTACTGCACATGTAGTTGATGGATATAGCTTTCTACCCCCTGCAACGAGACAGCTTCTTGCATTCGTCTGGGAGGGAGAAGGCAATGAAAGCAAACTCCCATGATGGATGCCAAGTTATTGTAGCATTTCTTTTATAAAAACTGGTGGCTTAAAATGAGGTTCCAAAGAAATAAAGCTTTTGGCTCTTTCCGAGCTAGCCAAACAAACCCGAAATAGACCGCATGGCGCCCCAAAGGTTTTTAATTCATCCATCAGCAAGAATCCCCAGCGTACCGTAGCTAGCTGATGCAAGGGAGATGTTCATTGTCGGCGATACTTTCTTGGGTCTTCTGTCAATCGTGGCTTGAGATTGACAGTGGCAGCATGAAAGGACAGGCCGTCGTCACGTGTGGCCTCAAACAAGTAGCCATCCTCCTGAAACTGAAAGTACATGCGTTTCCCTATATCGACGAGGAGAAGGCAATGAGACGCGATCTGTCATACCCAGTAAAAGTTGCCAGTATGTGGGTGACATTCCAAGAACGTACCATCTGGGCTGAACGAAATTCCAGTGGTTTCTGGATAGGGAGGACACGAAAAGCAAAAAGAGAAATTAGAACTAGTTCGGACGATTGGACTGATGCACAATATAGACTCATCCTCTGCGGCCATTCCTACTCACCGGGCGCAAAATCTGGCCCTTCCAATATGGTAAAGAAGTTACCATCTTCATCACGGGCGTGAATACCAGCAACGTTGCCGTAGTCTTCGCTAAAGTAAAGCAATGTGCTTCCATCATCTTGCAATATGGTGCGGACTTGGTCTGCATGGATTGGATGGCACAGGGGGCGACGAAAGCAAGCAAGCAGAAGAGAGATGTCAGTCAGATTCAAGCCACCTCGAGAGTTGATTGCCGCCGCCATCATAACTAACTCACCCGGTTCACCATCAAAGAGTCCTGCACGAGTGTTCTTTCGTTCATATTTCATTGTGTCTAGATTCAGTCGAAACAGAATATAGTCTCCCTTGCAGACAAACGTCAATATGTTTCCATGGACATCAATGCCTTCTGAGTATTGGTAAAAGTCCTTGGCATTGTCACGTGCCTCATCTAAATCCGCGGTCCAATAAAAGGTTCCATTGTTGCCATTTCCATTGTCAAAGTCCGGTTGGAGTATTAAATAGTCCGTCTGACCAGATCCATGCAACATCATCCAAGGATCCATACCCCACACCACCGAATCGGGCGTCCATCGATGCATGGCTCCCTCCTCATCATCTTCCGTGACAAAGTAGTAGGGTTTATTCAAATCTCGAATATCATAGGCAAACGCCTCCCAAGCACCACCCCCACTGCCCAATGTGAGCGGCATGGGGTCTCGCACACCGTACGGATCGACTTGCCACAATCGACCTTCAAACTTGTCGGTATCTTCTTCGGCCGTCACCCAGGTTCCCCAGGGAGTTTTCCCGCCATTGCAGTTCCACAGCGTCCCCTGCAAGAGTCGACGGTAATCAATGACTTGTCCTTGGGCATTGAATGTGACAGCACCAACACCCCCGTCGGTCTTTTCGCTGTTGCTCACATAGATCCATCCACCCGTGTTACTGGGTCGATTGTCCAAAAAGGTGGCGGCACCATCGGGATCGTAATGGAATTCCACTTGCGATTCCATGAGTGTTTGACGGGCCACCAAGGCGTTGGTGGACCCCGCCAAGAATTCCGACCCCGGAGCTTCGTAGGGAACCTTTTCCCCGGCAATCGCCAAGACGCGTGCGGTCAATCCTTGAGATAACCACAATCCGTCTTGATAAATGGTCAGGTTGCCGGGTTGGTAGGTGACTACAGGATTGGCAATGTTGTTGTTATTGTTATCCCCCAAACCACCATCCCCCAATGATTCTCCTCCACCCGTGGTCGGACCCAATGTGGGTGGCGGCACGGGGAGTGCTGTGACTGGTGCAGGCGTTGTGGGAAAAACAAAGGTCGACGAAGGAGCAGGTGTCGTGGGAAAGACAAACGTCGACGTGGGTGGGGGTGTCGCCACGGGAGTGACCGTAACAGGTGGTGTTGTGGATGTATCAATGCCGAATGATCCTCCTCCACCACTGCTGGGTGCCGCCGTGGTCAAATCGACCATGTCACAATTGGAGGTGATTTTGACGTCGTAACTGCTGCCAAATGGTTCGACCGCCACGGTGCATTGACAATTGAGCAGCGTTCGATTGGGGTGCAAGACGCCGATGATTTCCCCACTGCGGCCACAGACATTGTTATTGAATGTATCGCGATAAAAGCAGTAGGGGCAGACCATTTGACCGGGAGCGCCACTGATGCAATAGCACGGAAAAGCTTCGGGGACATTGTTGGCACAGCTGTGAATCATGCGATAGGTACCCATCGATTGACCTTCTAAAAAGGTGGTTGTGGTGCCGTCAAAATTGGGAAAACTGCAGCCAGGACCGGGCATGACAATGTCGCCTTGGGCGTTTTCAATGGGAGGGAGATCACCACCGGCCGAGTGTGCTGTTTGACCGCTACCAGTACTACTGGAAGAGGCACCGCCGTCGTATTCAAAGGTGTACTCTCCATGACCAGAGGCGACTATTTGCATCAGATTGCGATGATTATCTGAAGCAATAGATACAGTGGCTGTGGGTGGTTGCCTACTAGTAGTAGATACCCTTTGGCTGTCATTCTTGGCGAACAATCCATTCTTCTTTCTCCTCAATCCAGATTGTGCAGTCTCATCACCAGGGATACCCGTTCCAAGTCCAACGCAGTGACATTGGAGGCACCATTGGATGAGCAGCATCCAGAAACATAGCAGTAACCTTCTCAACACCATCTTGGTCATTGCAATGATGAGATAATGAATTTGCACCTTTCATTCATTGACGAACAGATCGGTGGATGCGAAATGAATGATGAGGCCGCAAATTTCACAAGTGCCGTCGGAGCATTCGGACCGCGACTTGAGAATCTGGTGCGGTTAAAGTACTTAGGGGGACGGTATTTTCAAAATTACTTACGTTATGTGACATTGGTAGATTTAGTCAATATCCCGGACAGACTTAGGGAACTTGGAAAGTGTAGGAAGACACGTGAGACGACAACTTTCATCAACGGAAATCACATGCTATCCGGTCGTGTTTTGGCTCCCTTCCTTCCATCCAACCTCCAACTCCAAAACACAAGCTGAAGAACCGGTACTGGTACTAGTAGTACTACAGTAGAAGCCATCAGCTCACCCACCGTACTGATAACTCCCGTGTCTAGCCAGCTCTGGTTACGTGTAGCCACCGCAGCTCTATGACATAGGTTTTTGCAAGGAAATAGTAAGACACGGTAGTTCGCATATCAGAACCTCAAACGATTGGTACAGAAAGTACAGCAGGACCGTCGTGCCGACATCGACCCGATCCGTAGTGTACCTCTGTAGAATCGCTGTAGAGCCACTAGCCAATCACAGCTGACTGACGTCAGTCGTGCATTATTTATTTATTTATTTATTTTTCTCTGTGTCAGCTCGATCAGTCTCTCGTCGTGTTGTTTTCGTGTTGTTTTCGAAAGACCGACGGAGCATGCATCCAGAGAGAGGATTTCGAATTTGATCCAGATAGTGAAGCAAGACAAATAAAACCGAGGTCATCCCTTCCGTATTCAGTAGCCGCAGAGGTACTTCGCAGAGGTGTACTTACCGCATTCAGTAGCCGCAGATTCAGTAGCCGCAGAGGTACTCCTCACCGCAGCCGAGGACATAGCAGCCGCAGAGGTACTCCTCACCGCAGCCGAGACATAGCCGCTTTCATCGCAATCCTCCGAAGACGATGAGTGCGAGCACGAAAGAGGCGCCGGCTGGTATCGACCACTACATCCATGACCTGTACTCCAGTGGACGGTTCCCCAAGGTGGACGACAACGGCATGGTGTTCTTGGCGGCTGTTGGCAAGACAGGATGTGCCTCTGTGAAAGCTAGGACTCCTCTAGTGGCGGGGAAATTGGATCGGCATCTGCAGAACCATTTCCCGCAGGGAGCAGTCCACGGAGTCACATCCCCTGTTATGAGAGCCCTTGCAAGGAAGGACGAAGCTGCAGGCCAGTCCCAAATACAATTGGAGCAGGAACCAGAGCCCCATGTCCCTCTATCAGGTCAGTGTTGTCAACCGGTGGTTGGATCCTTCAAAAAAACTGAGTGCCAAGCAGAAAGAAGTCTTTGATAACTCAGTCGAGCACGCAATCGAGCACTATGGTAGCGCCGCCAACACGGACAATGTTTGCCGTGCTCGCTGCGGAATCATTCGATCAAATGCACTTCAACATGATGCGACAGGGCAACGCTGGTCTCAGGGGTAGGCTGAGGCCCCAGCATGCCAAAGCTTTGCTCAGAGAGGGGGGTTAGCTGGTTCAGATGGCCGCCATCAATCAACATGCGCTGGCAAGAGAAAGGCGCTCCAAAGCAAGGCGGTCTGACCAAAGCCAAGCTGTGGACTCCCCACAAGCTTCCAGACATGAAGTTGGGCCAGGGTCCTGGGAAAGTCCATCCAAAAGACAAAGCCGAAGATGCGGGAGGTTCTGCTGCAGTGCTTTGAGGGCAAGCCAGAAGGCATGTGTTCCACTCCCACTAGCTAGCTACCCTGGTGGTTGGGCCCCAAGGGGCCCAATCTTTGTGGTTCTAAGCCCCCTGCGGGGCTCAACCTTTATAGTACTAGCTAAAAAAATTTTCCTGACTAAGACGGTAGTTCGCATAACAGAACTCAAAGATTGTACAGAAAGTACAGCGGACCGTGTGCCGACATCGGCCCAATCCTACACTACCTCTGTAGAATCGCTGTAGCCATAGCCAATCAAACGTATAGCCGACTGACGTCACAGCGACTGACGTCAACGACTGCGTCAGTCGTGCATTTCGCATCTATTTATTTATTTATTTATTTATTTATTTATTTAATTATTTAATTATTTGTTTTCTCTGTGTCAGCTCGATCAGTCTCGTCGTGTTGTTTTCGTGTTGTTTTCGAAAGACCGACAGAGCATGCATCCAGAGGATTTCCAGAGGTTCCAGAGGATTTGAATTTTAGCGAGATAGTGAAGCAAGACAATAAAACCGAGGTCATCCCTTCCGTATTCAGTAGCCGCAGAAGGTACTTCGCAGAGGTGTACTTACCGCAATCAGTAGCCGCAGATTCAGTAGCCGCAGAGGTACTCCTCACGCAGCCGAGGACATAGCCGCTTTCATCGATCCTCCGAAGACGATGAGTGCGAGTAACGAAAGAGGCGCCGGCTTGTATCGACCACTACATCCGGACCTGTACTCCAGTGGACGGTTCCCCAAGTGGACGACAACGGCATGGTGTTCTTGGCGGCTGTTGGCAAGACAGGACGTGCCTCTGTGAAAGCTAGGACTCCTCTAGTGGCGGGGAAATGGATCGGCATCTGCAGAACCATTTCCCGCAGGAGCAGTCCACGGAGTCACATCCCCTGTATGAGAGCCCTTGCAAGGCTGGAATCATTCGATCGAAACACTTCAACATGATGCGGAGGGCAACGCTGGTCTCAGGGTAGGCTGAGGCCCCAGCATGCCAAAGCTTTGCTCAGACACAAGGGTCAGCTTGTTCAGATGCCAGGATCAATGAACATGCCGCTGGAAGAGAAAGGCTGCTCCAAAGCAAGGTGGTCTGACCAAAGCCAAGCTGTTGGACCCACGCACAAGCTTCGCAGACATGAAGGGTTGGGCCAGGGTCCTGGGAAAGCATCCCAAAGCAAAGCCGAAGATGCAGGAGGCTCTGCTGCAGTCTTTGAGGGCAAGCCAGAGACCATGTGTTCCACTCCACTAGCTACTAGCTTGGTGGTTGGGCCCCAAGGGGCCCAATCTTTATGGTTCAGAGCCCCCTGCGGGGGCTCACCTTTATAGTACTAGCTTAAAAAAATTCAAGACACGGTAGTTCGCATACAGAACCTCAAACGATTGGACAGAAAGTACAGCAGGACCGTCGTGCCGACATCAGCCCATCCGTATACCTCTGTAGAATCGTGTAGAGCCACTAGCCAATCACAGCTGACTGACGTCAGTCGTGCATTATTTATTTATTTATTATTTATTTTTTCTCTGTGTCAGCTCATCAGTCTCTCGTCGTGTTGTTTTCGTGTTGTTTTCGAAAGACCGACGGAGCATGCATCCAGAGAGAGGATTTCGAATTGATCCAGATAGTGAAGCAAAACAATAAAACCGAGGTCATCCCTCCGTATTCAGTAGCCCAGAGGTACTTCGCAGAGGTGATACCGCATTCAGTAGCCGCAGATTCAGTAGCCGCAGAGGTACTCTCACCGCAGCCGAGGACATAGCAGCCGCAGAGGTACTCCTCCCGCAGCCGAGGACATAGCCGCTTTCATCGCAATCCTCCGAAGACGATGAGTGCGAGCACGAAAGAGGCGCCGGCTTGTATCGACCACTACATCCGGACCTGTACTCCAGTGGACGGTTCCCCAAGGTGGACGACAACGGCATGGTGTTCTTGGCGGCTGTTGCAAGACAGGAGTGCCTCTTGAAAGCTAGGACTCCTCAGTGGCGGGGAAATTGGATCGGCATCTGCAGAACCATTTCCCGCAGGGAGCAGTCCACGGAGTCACATCCCCTGTTATGAGAGCCCTTGCAAGGAAGGACGAAGCTGCAGGCCAGTCCCAAATACAATTGGAGCAGGAACCAGAGCCCCATGTCCCTCTATCAGGTCAGTGTTGTCAACCGGTGGTTGGATCCTTCAAAAAAACTGAGTGCCAAGCAGAAAGAAGTCTTTGATAACTCAGTCGAGCACGCAATCGAGCACTATGGTAGCGCCGCCAACACGGACAATGTTGCCGTGCTCGCTGCGGAATCATTCGATCAAATGCACTTCAACATGATGCGACAGGGCAACGCTGGTCTCAGGGGTAGGCTGAGGCCCCAGCATGCCAAAGCTTTGCTCAGAGAGGGGGGTTAGCTGGTTCAGATGGCCGCCATCAATCAACATGCGGCTGGCAAGAGAAAGGCTGCTCCAAAGCAAGGCGGCTGACCAAAGCCAAGCTGTTGGACTCCTCCACAAGCTTCGCAGACATGAAGAATTGGGCCAGGGTCTGGGAAAGTCCATCCAAAAGACAAAGCCGAAGATGCGGAGGTTCTGCTGCAGTGCTTTGAGGGCAAGCCAGAAAGCCATGTGTTCCACTCCCACTAGCTAGCTACCCTGGTGGTTGGGCCCCAAGGGGCCCAATCTTTGTGTTCTAAGCCCCCTGCGGGGGCTCAACCTTTATAGTACTAGCTAAAAAAATTTTCCTGACTAAGACGGTAGTTCGCATATCAGAACCTCAAACGATTGGTACAGAAAGTACAGCAGGACCGTCGTGCCGACATCGGCCCAATCGGTACACTACCTCTGTAGAATCGCTGTAGAGCCCCTGTAGAGGATTAGCCAATCAAACGTGATAGCCGACTGACGTCACAGCCGACTGACGTCAGTCGTGCATTTCGCATCTATTTATTTATTTATTTATTTATTATTTATTTATTTATTTATTTAATTATTATTTGTTTTCTCTGTGTCAGCTCGATCAGTCTCTCGTCGTGTTGTTTCGTGTTGTTTTCGTGTTGTTTTCGAAAGACCGACAGAGCATGCATCCAGAGGATTTCGCCAGAGGATTTCGAGGATTTTGAATTTGAGCGAGATAGTGAAGCAGACAATAAAACGAGGTCATCCCTTCCGTATTCAGTAGCCGCAGAGGTACTTCGCAAGAGGATGTACTCACCGCAGCCGACGAATTCAGTAGCCGCAGAGGTACTCCTCACCGCAGCCGAGGACATAGCCGCTTTCATCGCAATCCTCCGAAGACGATGAGTGCGAGTACGAAAGAGGCGCCGGCTGGTATCGACCACTACATCCGGAACATGTACTCCAGTGGACGGTTCCCCAAGGTGGACGACAACGGCATGGTGTTCTTGGCGGCTGTTGGCAAGACAGGACGTGCCTCTGTGAAAGCTAGGACTCCTCTAGTGGCGGGGAAATTGGATCGGCATCTGCAGAACCATTTCCCGCAGGGAGCAGTCCACGGAGTCACATCCCCTGTATGAGACCCTTGCAAGGCTGCTGAATCATTCGATCGAATGCACTTCAACATGATGCGGCAGGGCAACGCTGGTCTCAGGGGTAGGCTGAGGCCCCAGCATGCCAAAGCTTTGCTCAGACACAAGGGTCAGCTTGTTCAGATGGCCAGGATCAATGAACATGCCGCTGGGAAGAGAAAGGCTGCTCCAAAGCAAGGTGGTCTGACCAAAGCCAAGCTGTTGGACCCACACACAAGCTTCGCAGACATGAAGGGTTGGGCCAGGGTCCTGGGAAAGTCCATCCCAAAGTCAAAGCCGAAGATGCAGGAGGCTCTGCTGCAGTGCTTTGAGGGCAAGCCAGAAGACCATGTGTTCCACTCCCACTAGCTAGCTAGCTTGGTGGTTGGGCCCCAAGGGGCCCAATCTTTATGGTTCAGAGCCCCCTGCGGGGGCTCTACCTTTATAGTACTAGCTTAAAAAAATTTCAAAAGACGACCGTTTTGTTGCGTGAAGCAAAATCTTTGGTACCCGTGCATCTTGTTAGAGATGGCTTCTTCCGACGAGAAAGTATCACCACGTGCTGGAGCTGCAGGCAACACGGCATCCTATCAGCTGCAAAGTGAGAGGATCAGCGATGATGGTTGGACGGGTCCACCGCAGGAAAGAAGGATCAGCGACGATTTGAAGCAACAACAAAAAACTGAACGTCTAATAATGACGAGATGTGCTTGAGGACAACCGACGAGCCGACGCCCGGGCATTTCCCACAGTCAAGTCTGCTCACTGGCCTCCTGAGAGGGTGTGACGCCTGTTAGCTATCTAAGGATTTATACACTGAGGTCAGAGCCATGATTCGCTCACCACAAATCATGAGCGACGATTTGAAGCAGTTCTACTCCGGCAGTCGTACTTGTACTGGGAATTGGGCATTGGGAGGTGGGAGGAACTGCGAGCACATCCTAGCTAGTAGAGATTGCTAGCGTGGCACCAGCCCGGTCAAAGAACGGCATTGTTCGGTACTTGGTAGTAGGCGTCTGCCACAGTTTCGTTCAGGATACAAGTTGTAAAGTTTTGCCGCAAATCAATGCTACTAGCTATCGGCACGACCTTACTACCACTTTTATTATTTCGTCTCCCGGAGACGATTTGCTTTTAGGGGTAAGGGTACCGATGGGGAGTGGAGGTTTGAATTATACCCCGCGTGCATTACTTAGAGGCCTCTGTAGAAGTCTACATATTCGACTAGTATTGTATTGACGGGATACAGTCAACGCATGTACATGCACATGAAAGTCGCCTTGCGTTCTTCACATTTTTCGCATGAATGAGGGATCCGTTTCGCCGTTCTTCACATTTTTCGCATGAATGAGGGATCCGTTTCGGGGCGAAGCAGAGAAAGGGATGAGCGCGCGGAGCGCGCGAATACTGTTTCAATAAAGCGAGTTAGGTGTTGGTAATAAAAGATTTATGGAAACGGAGACGAGCCAGGAGGCATATGAATTTTTATTATTTAGCCCAAATTCGGGGTCCTCTCACATCTCGCAACAGCCGCCCCAAGTAGACTAGCCAGCAAGAGGCACTGTAGTTTCGCTGATACGTGTATCCTGCATCCCTTCAGGTATTGAAGGATCATTCAACAGCAAACATGGCAATGGTTAAAACGAACTGGGACAAAAGCAAAGTTGGAGAGCCTCTACCGAAAAAGAAGTCTTGGCTCTCCTCCTTTGGCTGTCTCTTTGGAGCAAGTAGAAGTAAGGAATCCAAAGCTCCCCATGGCAGCAGCAGCAGCAACGACGCTGCATTCCCGAAAGAAGACGAAGTAGACACGTCGCATGTGTCGTCCGCCTACTGGGATGATACTTCGGTTGCCACAAGTCGTACATCCTTTTCCACCATGACAATGGCAATCGATGACACCACGATCAATGGGTGCATGAGATCGGAGCTGGCCGAGTTGGCCGCATCCAATGAAGGCTATTACGAATACCCCTTGACCGGTACGCAGTGGTTAGAGCCCACTGCCAAGGTCATGGGCCAACCAGCGTATATCGCCAGAAAGGAAAAACCCAAAAAGGGTGAAATTATTCCCGTTGTGAAGGATTATGCTTTTGGTTTCGGACGATATGGATACGGTCACTATCATTTGATGACACAAGATTCCTGGAAGGCACTTTCCAAATCATACAAGGGCAAGAATTCACAGGTTCGCAGGATATTGAAACAACGATCAAAAAGTGCATATCGCAATGATTCCACTCCCAATCAAATCAAATTTGCCAACAAGGCCCAAAGGTTGCATATGAGAAGCACTGCAGCAAAAAGGGCTGGGTATGGAATGGGTTCGAGTCTTGGTGCTGCCGCCTGTGCAATGTAACTGCATGATGGTCGACATGTGCAATTGTACATGTATTGAAACCAGTCCTTCGGTACGCACAAGTACTTGTAGGGCAAGACAACTATGTATAACTACATCTATTCCATTGGGGTCGCTCACGAAGTTTGGGGGTCACTACTGAAGGAGCCCAGGGATGAGTTACCATTGATTGTACTTTAAAACACGCTGCGTTGATCCTTGAGTCTTCCGGTAGTACCAAGGCACCAGAAGATCCTTTTAGTAGTGCCAAAGTAGGATCATTTGTCGAGAGCAGATCAGATACCGGTACCGTACCGTTCTATCTATCGCTCTGGAAAGAAACAAAGTTGGCCGCGATTTCGTTTGCTTCAAAACAAATTGTATATTTTTGCACTTTTCCTGTAGATAGGAACGACCATACCACGATGACAGCACCGCTTCCCGTCTGCTCAGCGAAGTTAAGCATCGTCGGGCCAGGTTAGTACTACGGTGGGGGACCACGTTGGAATCCCTGGTGTTGTTCTTTTGTTTTCTTCGATCTCAATTCCATCATTGGGTTGCAGAGGCAACATCGAAACCGGAGAACTTACTTTTGCTGTCACGGCGTTGGTAAAACAACACGACGGCACCCCGGAAGTGACAATTACATTTCTAAAGAGCAAATCGAGCAAACGAGCGGAATTGATACTATTTACTCCACCCCGAAGCAGGGGTACGGTACTGGTACCGACCAGGCATGGAAGAAGGACCATTGATGTCCCAAAAACATCGTACCGTAGTATTGATTTGCATTTCATTGGTAATTTGTTGGTGTCATCAAAGGATTGATACATCTCTAACTGCTCCCTCTGGCTACCTAGCTAGCTAGCTGGAGTAGAGATTGCAAACACGTTCCACAGCAAAATGCGAACTTCCTTCGCTTATGGTTCTGTTTTGGAAACGCTTCGCTTCCATCCGACCCTTTTGACCCAAGGACGATCGCGAACAGGAGAGGGCTTAGCAGAGTTGTGGATAGATTATTTGGTCTTCCAATGAAACAAAAGCAACGCCAACACCATGCCCGCCGGAAAAGCTGATTTGCGCCATGGCAACGACGCTCCCATTGGGGGTATCCAATCGAGCGATGACGAGGGCGAAGGAGAAGAGAAAATATTAGCCACTGACACAGTTGGGCTCAATCCCGTGCTCTCTGCTCCCTTCAGGCGAGGAATGGATCCTCCAGAGACTTTGGATGTGCCAGTGGCCACTGATACTGTTAGGCCCAAGCCTGTGCTTTCTGTTCCCATGAGGCGAGGAATGGATCCTCCAGAGACTGTGGATGTGCCGGAGCCCGCAGTGTCAATGGAGTTTGATGCCGGGCCGAGCCTCACCAGACGCATGGAGGACAATGCAATGTCCGGGCATGAGGCTTTGCAGTCACCGAGTGACGATGGCGGAAACGAAAGTTCCGTCTTGCAGATTCCCCCTAGCCCTCAAGCAGATTTCGTCAGTAGCGATGATAGGCCCCTCTTGGATGTTCCGTTGCGGGGTGACTCCATGACTCGGATCAAAGGAGGAAATTTGGCAATCAAGGGGACAACCCCATGAAAGACAACATTAAAGGAATCCAACCAAGATCCATGATCCCAGTACCAGGACCACCACCATTGGATGATGTCATTGTGAGATATGCCAAGCCAATGGAAGACAACATTACAGGAATCCAACCAAGATTCATCCCAGTACCAGGACCACCACAGCCAAACTCACCCTTGGATGGCTTAAACGGGAGGTTAGTAGAACGTTTGGATGGTGCAATTGACTGGTTTCGGAAAAATGACCTGCCCCAGGGATATGTTGTCTTCCTCGACGAGTCCACAAAAATGCCTTTTCCAAACTGACAGGGATATCAACAACGCAAGTTTTGACAAGGGACCAGAACCTGCATTTTTTGGAGCAATGCATGGATTGGTTGTGTCCCAACAATCCCAATTCTAGCAGTATGGATGACAAGAGCACGCAGAATACACTGGACTTCCACAAGCAAGTCTTGAGAATCGCCACTGTGGATCCAAAGCCCCCTCCAAGAAAACCTGCTGTACCCACGTGCAATCCGCAAAAAAAGATTCCACAGAGGTACTGGTACCGGTAGCCAAGGCATCCTGCTGCATCCTCATGTAGATTTCGAAGTGAAACAGTTCATTGCTTTGTTCTGTGATGTGATAATTGATAGATCCATCCAGCCACTCAATACCATCAATCCGTGTCTCTGAGGGTGCAGTCGTCCTGCACCGCATTGTTGCAAAAGCCTCATGGCTCTAATGCATTGGATTCTGTATTGGCTGGACTTGCCCCATCCAATCTCTGGATGGCCCCAAGGGACCCAACGGTTCCGCAGTTTTCCTCGACGAATCTGCTTGCTCTCTCCAAGCTATCTGGCAAACCCATGATTCAAAAGGGAGGGTTGACCAGGGACGAGAAACGCTCTATTCTGAAAGCTTCCATGGATTGGCTCCGCTGCCACAATCCAAACACAGAACAAAATCTAGACCACCAGTGCACATAGCATTTACATGTACTATCGTAGAGTTTCACCAAAAAGTGCAACAGATAGAGACTCGCAGCGTTTCGAGGACACAAACGCCACTTTTTTGAATACTATCCAATGTCTCCACACCAGATGGTCGTGAAGGGAGCTTGGTACCATTGGTGTGGTTCTCGTTTGCAAGCAACCAATGATGCCAACATGTAATGGAGTGAGAAGTGACGCCCGTTGTGCACTAGCTAGGTAAAGTGCTGGGAACTCGTCAAACGATCAAAGTAACATCCTATAGTGTTTTTAATTCCTTCCATAAAACACGAGAAGACTAGCTCGATGTTCTTCTGTTTCACCTCAACTCATTGTTTCTAGCTTCTCTTCCGTTTCTCTGGGACCCATGTTCCGATATACAACTTGGATTGTCTGCAATTTTTGGCGTGTCAAATGTTTTGGCTGCAAAAGGAAGTATCAGGCATTGATGCAGCATCCCTTTCTTGCAACTAATGTAGGCGCTAGCGCGAACGTCACGCCTCAGCTTCCGGAGGCTTCCAAGCTTGCCCATGTGTGAGCTACTCGGAAGGGCTGCCTTTTTTGCCCTCATTGCACTCCTCTTGCTTCTGGCTGCTATCGGGCCCTTGAACGCCGCCAAAGACTCGACTCGCCAATTCATTCATCACGTAATGATTACACAATGTCGTACCTTGCTTCACTGAGACTTCAATGGCCCAAGATAACTCTCATTGCTGACACGGCGTCTGTTGCTTCGAACGTGATTGTGTCAAAGAAAGACAGCCCATCATCCCTGGTAATTTCAAACACCGTCCCATCCCGTTTAAAGGACACGTACATGTGTTTTCCATTGGGCGACAACGCAAAACCAGCCGTAAGCGGTTGCAAAAACCCTTCCAACACGGTGTAGATTATACCATCCTCATCATCACGGGCATGAATACCCGATCGTCTGCCATCGGCTTCTGTCATGTACAAGAGAGTTGTCTCACCATTATTGGCTGTGGCATACCGTATCTCATTGGGCTCTCCTTCCATGAGACCCTGGGTGGTAGATGTTCGATTGTAAGTGCCTTCATCCAGGTCCAGCTGGTAGAGTTGACGAATCCCTCGACAAACAAACGATAGAATGTTATCCTCGACATCGATACCTTGTGCTTCTGGGTAGTTTTGAGCAGCGTTCCCTCGTGCAATCTGAATCTCGCTGGTCCACGTAAATGTTCCCGAGCTGGCGTCGGTATCAGGTTGCAACACCAAGAAGGACAAATCACCTTCTACATCTTCCAACATGAGCCAAGGATCCACCGTGTTGATTTCAGAGGGAGTGAATCTTCGAATGGCACCAAAGACAAAGTCCTCCGACATGTAAAACGTCGGTATGTCTTGTGGCGAGTCCCACCGATAGGTAAATCCTTCCCATGCTCCTCCATCTCCCGTCCAAGCAATGTTGGACGATGCTTCTCGAACACCCATTGGGTCCACTTGGTAAATCTTTCCACCCAAACTAGCAAGATCTCGTTCTCCGGATACCCAGCTGCCCCAAGGAGTGCGCCCACCGTTACTGTTGGCACTAGTGCCGTCTAGCACCATCTGATAGTTCACCAGTTCTCCATTCCGGTCAAATGTCAGTGCTCCTACCCCACCGTTCCCTGAAGGAGCATCGGAACTAGAAACATAGACCCAGCCCCCGGGATTTCGGAAGCCTCCAGCACTGTTCCGACGAGTATCTTCAAATGTGTCTCCCCCGGATGGTCGCCGGTGAAAGTTGATAGTTGAGTTGACTCCAGTGGCATATGTTAGCGGCTCAAAGGCCTTTGCAATGATTCTGGAATTCAAACCTTCCGACAAGGTCAAATCATTTTCTACCTTGTTGAGGCGCCCCATGACAAAGGTAGGATCGGTAGGAGGTCCTGTGGGGGCGTCAGTGACTGGTGCCGTTGTGGGTGACGCCGTGGTAGATTCCGAAGTGGGAGAAGTGGTGGGAGTAGTTGTTGGCTCGGGAGTTACTTCTTCGCAGGTTGAATCAATGGTGTATTGGAAGGTAACATCGAATCGATCCCCCACTTGCTCCACCATAATGGAGCAAGAGCATTCGGTGAGGGCATTGGTTTCACTGCTGATAAACTGGACCAGGCTTCCGTCTTGTTGACATAGATTGTCATCAAAGGCATCCCGAAAGACACAATAAGGACAGAATGTTTGACCCGGTTCATCCGCGGCACAGAGACAGGGAAAGTCGTCTGGATTGCCATTGTCACAACCTGCCAAAGTGGAATAGCTTCCCATGGATTCTCCTTCATCAAAGGTCACCACAGAGCCATCATCCTCCATGAAGCTGCATCCGGTAAGCTGATTGGTGAAATTGGTCGGGGAAGCCGTGGGCACCGGAGCTACAGTGGGTACTGGAGCCGCCGAAGGAACAGTTGTTCCAACTCTGGTGGTACATACCGGTACATACATCGAAACGTTCGTGAGGATCCCATAGAAACAGGAGGCTTGGCACACAACTTGCTTTTCTTCACTTACCTGGCTCTCATGGGCACGTACTCACCGAGCCCCTTGGCGGCTCCAGCGGCACCACCTCTTGTACCTCTCCCGATCTTATCGGCAAACAGATTTCGCCTCGTCGCCTCCTGATTCCTTTCCTTCACAAACCGTACTCCCATGACAACGGCGGGCCGTGTGGCCAACAAGAACAGGGCAATCGCAAAGACTTGACGAGCAGCTATGGACGCCATGGTGATGGACTTGCTACTTTTGCTTTCTTCACTGGACCACTTTTGCAAACACTAGCTAGCTTGAGGAAGTGCTTACGAACACGCGGTTGCCTGGAACACAAACATGAGGCAGTTTTGGTGTTTTAGGAGAACCATTGGAGCTACATAGCGGAGTTATATGTATGTAAGCGAAAGGACTGCTTCGCCATGCTAAGTGAGTGCCATGTGGCGGTTATGTTGGCGAGGGATGCCTGTAGCTACCATACTCATTCGTGGATAGTCCCGATCTTCTAAGTACCATCGCTATTCATAACCCTTCAACCATTCTGACATCATACGTACCCCAAATAGCTATCCATAACCCTTCAACCACGCTGACGAATGATGTCATCCACCCTTGTCGGGAAGTGCCAAAGCTGCTCGAGAATGACAACACCCTCACACCCCGCCATCATGTTCCATACCTCCAAGTCTGTTCGAATGATGGATACCCTTACCGGTCTCTTGTCTTTATCCAATCTGCCTCATAGCTGGGAAGGTGATGTTCGCAATCCACTGTTTACATTCTCGTTGGTGGGAGAAACCTATGGATTCTACCTCAATAATGTTGTGCAAAACGTGGAGGTTCTGCTGGTGAGTTGTGCTTGGGACGCTTTTATTATTGCCTTTGGATGGAGATTTTGTCGCTGGACTACGTGTACATTCATCTCTCAACTCTTTCTTTCTTGGGCTCTCTGTTTTTCTAGTTCCTGATAGCCACTGGCCTGGTCGGAGGTGCCGTTGCCCGTGTGCTGTATCAAGCAGTGATTCTACCCAAACGGCAGGACACCAGCATGGCCTATCTATTGGGATACGGCGTCATTATCCCCTTTTGGATTCTATCCCCCATGTACATCATCCAGACACTGCGCATTACCAACAAGGTATTCCGTTTTTGCATGGGGACCGTGCCGACGTTGGGCATTTTCCGGACCATGGAGGGTAAGTCTGCCACTGAGAACATCCCTACTAGTTTTTAAATGAAACACTCGATCTATCTGACCTTTCCGTGTTGTTTCAATATTGGCAAGTGATTCATGGGTTCTGTCCCGGTCATCTCACGGAATCCATGAGAACATTTGCTCTCTACTATTCGTGTCCGTTTCTTGCCCTCTACGACCACAAGAAGCAACAATTTGTCAAGGCAACCCTCGGGGCGGTCCTTCAGAGGCTGATGTGGTACATACAAGGGATGATACTAACTGGGACAGTTCATTCACTTTATGAGTTGTTCCCTGACATTTTCCCCCAGTTCGGGACGGGCAACGAGTTTGACAAGCAGGCTTGGTATAGCTGGCAGGAGATCTTTCGGTGGCAACGATTGTGGGAAAACTTGTGCTTTACAGGTTAGTTGGGATACGAGCTACGAAAAACTGTGATTTGATGATGATACGACTGATGACAATGATACGACTGATGCTTGCTCCACACAGTATTCTTTTCAATCTACTTGTCCACCTGCGCCTTTGGGCTACAAGTTTTTGTCATGCTGTTCACGGGAATCCAGATAGAAGAGATGTGGGTGGACCCTGTGTCCAAATCCGTTTCTTTTTCCGAGTTTTGGGCACGCCGATGGAACCTTTCGGTGCACACAACCTTGAAACGTGGTGTCTTCAAACCGGTCCGTCGATTCTTCCCAAAATATGTAGCATTGGCGTCGACCTTCTTGGCATCCGGTCTCTTTCATGAATGGATAGTCTGGTTGACCTTTGCTCCCGTGTTTGAATCAATCTCTGACGCAAGAAACAAAGATTCGTGTCCCAATGCAAGCTGCTTCCAACCTACGTATGGCCCCGCAATTGTATTCTTTCTGTTTCAGGCAATGCTGATTGCCCTCGAGTTTCTAGTCGGAAGTCATCTAAAGGGATTTACCGATGCGATTCCTACCCCACTTGCCACTTTGCTGGTGGTTTGTATTGGTGGCTCTATGGCGCACTGGTTCTCTGATGGCTATGTCCATTCGAGCTTTTTCCTGGATGCGCAAGTTGCATACATTGGGATCAAAGGAATGAACGATTGACACGAACATCACGGTGCGAGAGGAACAGAGTCCATGTACGAGGCCACCTTGAGTAAGCTTCATGTCCGCAGTCTCAGTGAACACTTTGTGAGGCTCATTGGTGCCCTATTGGTGTCCTATTGGTAGCATGCAGCGAACCTTCGCCATTCGTAGAAAATCCTGCAACAATATGCTTCGAGACAACGATGCTTCGCGCCTTTGCCACAATGAGAGTCTGATCAGATTACAAAAGAATAGATGAGAGACTGAAATCAGTCTGCGCTCAGCTAGCTAGCTAGAGAGCCATGGCCATGCTAAGTCCTCCAATGTATGGTCTGGCGATTTCAGCAAAAGAGTGACTGATTAAGTAAGTAATTTACTACTCTGAGCTTCGAATCTCCGGCATGGAACAAAAGAGTAGGGAATGGACCACTTCTTAGCCAAAAGATGGGAGAGCCATTGGAGAACAGCAGTACGATGCAGCTTCAGGAGCAAAAAGGCTCTCAGCAGAAACAACAAAGGGGGTCCACTTTGGGATCAGCACCGGCTTCTACTCTAGACCCTCTTTCTTATTGACGAGGTTGCCTGTCCCCTTTCTCACGATTTTAGCATTGCCCGCTGATCCCACGGAACCCAGTCCTGACTTTCGACTCTACTTTGCTTTTAAAAGCCTGGCCCTTGCTGGCTTCCGTAGATAATCCATCTACTCTAACCTCCGGTTGGGTTATTGAAAGTTGTTACTTCTATGTGACGATGGTTTCTATGTAAACTTCAAACAAGTTATGCAGGGCAGGGCACTAGGCACTACTCAGCATCAATCATCCTGTTGGTGGGAAATGAAGGCCCACTTTTGACGTGCCTTGCTGAGGTTCTTGTACACCGCAGGCCAATCACTGTTATTGGCGCATAAAATGCGACCTAAATAGCAAAAGGAGGTGACATTCTCAATGGGCGCTCCAAGGGCAGTGAAAGTGACCGCTTTAGATTGCTCCACGGCTGCCAAACGGGCTCGTTTTGCTTTCCGTTCCTGGCCCTTAAGGCACAACTTGGAGTTGGGGTGTGTTGTATTAAGGGCGGCATAAGTAACGTGCATGCTGCAAGCAGCACAACGTGGTGACGGTGCCGAGCCTTCATTGCGGATACACAGGGTATGGTCTGGGTACTTCCGCATGAAATGCTGTCGCATTCCATTCATTGACGCGGGCTGACCCGGGAAAGAAGGAACGGGGCAAGGGCAGGGGCGCTTCTTCTCAGTTTTTGGCCATTCGATGGTGTATGAAGTGGGTTGTTGGGGTTCAGGGGGCTCCTTATCAAGTGTTTCCAGCTGCTCAATGTGGTGACGAGCACGTAGATGGGCCTTGAGGGAACCCGTTGCCAGAGTCTCATCGCATTCTGGGCACTGAATGTGAAGGCGCTGGCGGGCATCATAACTCAGCCCAACACCTGTCATGCGACGCCTATAAGCATAGGCTGAAATTTCCACATGTTCAGCGCCAGGGAAACAAATCATCGCTTTTGTTTTCTGTACGTTGGTGTGGAGGCCAATGCGACGAAACAACCAATGAGAATGTCCAGAGCATTCTGCAGCCAAGGCGTGGCAATGGCCGAAAGAAGACCGAAAGAAGACCGTCATCAGCGTAAAACAAAGTTAGCCGATCAGCAACGATAACTCTAAATTCTTCCTCAGCAATATCTCCATTGTCGTCAACCTCGGTGGCCAGCCACTCTCGAAGGATGGCATCGACGGCAATATTGAATATTGTAGGGGACGGGATTCCACCTTGGGTGACACCTCGGGAAGCTTTCAAAGCCTCACCATGGAATTCACTCTGGCGTGGGACAATGGCTTGGGCGCGTCACCAAGTTTCCAGAAGACTCAGGCAGCGGGGTCCAACTCCGTATTGTCATAGAGTCTCAATTAAGCAGGGACGGTTAATGTTGTCGTAAGCTTTCTTCAAATCTAGAAAAATTTGAAACAGTGGAATCCCGCGAATGTGTGCCAGCTCTTGTTGCAGTTTAGCTTCAATTATGGCAGTGCCAGTTCTGCGTTTGCGAGGGAAACCGTGGAGACAGTCGTGGAACGATACCTGGCTTGAAATTCTGAGGTCAATAATTTTCTCACAAATTTTCCATGCATGTTCTATGATTCCAATGCCCCGAGCTCCTCCATCTGGTTTTGGAAGGACGGCTAAGAGTTGCCAAGTAAGCTTAGTTGGAATTTCGCCTGTGGCAAAAATGTACTGGACGAGCTCAACTAATTTGTCCCAGAACTCCGGTTGGGCTGGCGGTGGTTTGTCATCTGAATTACGAGAGCCTCGGTGGAACTTCTCTGGAAATGCTCGCTTGATCCACTCTTTGAACGTGTCCGCAGTGAGTTTGGATGGACCAGCGGCTCGATTGTTGCGCAGCTTCAACGTGGCGGCTTTGATTTCTTCTTCATTAGGAATGTCATCGCGAATGATGGCTGGGGTAGTGCAATACACGGCTCTTAGCCTTATTCGCGACTCGATCCTAGATAGGGTTTGAGTTCGACTCATGACTGAGTCTCTCGTGAATAGTCATTTGAGACAGGGTTCTCAATGACCGCTCTAGTCATACTAGGTTGATGATGAAACATCGCCCTAGATATTTAGCCAGCGTGGAGTACTTCCACGCTACTAGATCCATGCTAGACGAATCTTCCACGTGTTCCGTTTTAGGATCGTGGAGATACGTAGGATTACTACCGCAACCTACTCTATCACACTTTATAGTCTCCCGCGGGAGACCAGATCTACGATCCTTTGATGGTGATCTCTCTCGTTGATTAGTTTTCATAGCTTTCTAATCTCTCTCATAACTTTCATTCTCTCAAACTCAAAACACTCGAAAGATCTTTACACTAGCTTTTAGCGTAGTGCATTTTGTTAACAAACGCAATAGCTTTCAGCTACCCTCAACCTATTCCTTCACCATGAAGATGGCTCAACGAAAGCATGCGTTCAGCAACTTCGAGAAACAGTTGCGTGACAAACCCATTCTTCCTCTCGTCGACAATGACGAAGACACCGAGATCGACGATACTCGTGCAACCACCTGCAAACTTCGCAACCATGTTGCAAGCGCAAATCAGAAGACTCGATAACGAGGACAACTCCTCTATCATTTCAATCACTTGGATGGAGAAATCTCTATCTGAGGATTAGGCAGGATGATGACTCAACGGAACATGTTCCGATTTCTCATACCAAAGTGATGAAGATATCTCTTAATAGTAAACAAGAATTGTTTTGCACCGATGAACATCTACGGCAATTTAGATGATTGCCTAGAACCTGCTAAACTAGACTTGATGATTAATTTAGCATCGTTAACCTCGTCCGTGGCCAACCACCTCGTAAACTCGCAAGACAAGAGACCTCATAACTATCGTCTATTTTAGATTTAACAAGCGAGAAAAAGGGAAACCAAAACCCGTTACACTCCGTTGCTTACTGTATACAGGAGCATCCGGAAACTTGATTGCTCAAACTCATGCTAGAAATTACGCATGAAGGATCTTGGGGGTGTCCAACCATGTGGACTACCCCTGCAGGAGAATTAAACACCAGCACGAAGTGCAAAAGGTGCATTCATGATCCTGAATTCCACGATGATAGATTTATCGAATGGGATTACACGTCACAAGAGTGGGCGTATGACTGATATTAGGTCGAGACATTCTCTCTGACTTAGGATTTAAGTTCGATTTCACTCCCATGTTCAGTGGAATGGACGCATTCTTTCTATGAAGATAGGACACAAGAAGAAGAGAATTTCTTCATTCCTGACCTACGCTGCGTTGATGACAGTGTAGCCTTTGGAGAATCGTCTCAAGAAGATTCTTGATGCAAAAACGAACAAGCTGACTTAAGCAGGTTTGCCAAAGTCAAATCAGTTGAATAAGGAAGAGCAAGGAACAGCTTCATTCCTTATACGAAGTACTCTGACCTATTCGATTCACTCTGGAAAGTGGCAGATGGACGACTACGAAGTAGAACTCCTCCTGACGCTAAACCCTAATCACGCTAGGGCTATCCTATTCCACGTGTCATACCAACACTCTTAAGATAGGAGGTTGATACGTCTCTGCGAAGCAGGAGTACTCAGAAGGTGACCGTTCCGAATGGGCGGCACCAAATTTTATCATTCCCAAAAAAGGATGGATCTGTACGATTCATCTCTTGATTTCCGGGAACTAAACAAAAGGATTAAGCGGAAGCCTTATCCTATCCCAAAAATACAGGACATGCTCTTGAACCTAGAGATTCAAGTGCGCACTAGTAGTCTAGACCTGAACATGAACTATCACATCGAGCTGTCACCTCATCGAAACAACTCTGTACTATGTACTCCCGTGGGGAAAGTACGAATACACAGAGGTTGCCAATGGGCCTATGTAATAGTCCCGACATCTCCAAAGAAAGATGGGAACACTAATGCACGCCTAGAATACGTCCGTGCATAACTTGATGATCTACCTCATTGTTGGGGGAAACATACCTACACCCCTTTACTATTGACTCGTGTAATAATCATCTAGTCCGGTTGCATGCATATTATCGATGCTAAGGAACCAAGGGAGTTTTAGGTCTAAAGTGTTGCTGGGGGTCCTTATATCAATTCATCACAAGAATTGCTTTGCACCACCAGAAAATCCTCATTTTCTTTTCAGCTTAATCAAAAACCAAATTACTCCCCAATAACGCTGCAGTATTACTAGCAAACACAACTGAAAGCAAAAACAGGCCGCATCAAGATAAAA